GGGTGGCGATGGGCAGACCGGTTCATCCGACGACGACCAGAGATCAAGACTCGGCTCTCCCGTCCCCTTGACTACCAGAGAGCACGGCAGGAAGATCCACAAGTGTACGCTGCATGGTTCTGGCTTGTGACCAATATGCAATCAAAATATGGTGTTCAGCCAGGCGATTTCTATAACTTCGATGAGACCGGCTTTGCCATGGGCATGATCAGAGCGACAACGGTTGTGATAAGCAGTGAACGGACAGCCCGGGCAAAGGCTATCCAGCCAGGGAACCGGGAGTGGGCAACAGCTATCTGCTGCATTGCAGCAGATGGGTACGTCCTCCCCCCTTGTCTTTGCGTGCTTGGGCGGCACCACCTTGCAACATGGTATGCGGACAACAACATCCCGGAGGATTGGGTTGTCAAACCCACCGACAAAGGCTGGACGGACAACACTACTGGTCTGGAATGGCTTATGCACTTAAATGGTGAGGATGGGCTGAGTGACTGAAGGGTCCTGCACACGAGAAACTGGGTCCGGAACGTCTGAAGCTGTTCCTCCTCCCCCTCCCGCCCTCGGCGAACCCGTCCGCGGAGTTGTTCGTGTTCACAGTCTCTATTTGTTTACTAAGCTAGGTAGTAATATATTAATATTTGGGCGACCGTCATTCGGGGTCATCCTCCTGATCCTCCTCCGCGTTGGGCTCATCCTCTTCAGCCACTTATTGAGCTGCCTGTCGAGGGTGTCGCCCTTGCTGTTCGTGTCCTTGAAGAACACAGGCTCGAAGCGATGGGGGAAGGAGAGAGGGACTTCGCCCGGCATTTTCGTGAGCATGGCGACCTGAATGCGCCGGTACGCATGGTTGGTGTCGACGAAATGCCGTAGGAGATGGAGGAGCTCGCGCTGAACAGAGCGCTGCAGGGCACGTAAGTGTTGAGAACCTGCAATGAGGGTAAGTACTCACCTGGAAGAATTCGTCTGTGCCGGGCTCTGGGCCGCTCTTCACGACACGAGGGGTTGGCTTTGCCTTCCCCTTCCCCTTCCCCTTCCCCTTACCTCGCTCTCCTCATACTCACTCGCCGATGCCTCTCTCGATCCCGCAGAGTCGTCTTGAACCGGCAGCTGGGCGGGTGCCGATTGTCGACCACCAGTAGTCATCGCCTTCCTCCTCGATGCGATCAGTCCAGAGGCACGCTTCTTCTTGTTGGGCCCGGCGCTCTTGTCGGTCATGATTTTCTCCTAATGACAATGAACGGGTATCCGTGTGTAAGCAGCTGTACTCACCTCCTCTTGACGGGTGCGTTTGATGGGGAGCCCTTCCCCGTCTGGCCCGCTGTACGCCCTATCCTCATCCATTTGCTCATCCTCGCTCGATACTTGGAGCCGCCGCTTCTGTCTTGCCGTTTTCTTCTAGATGACCATTAGTACGAAATGATGAGGTGCAACTTACGATGTTCTCTTCCATGCCGTTACCGCCTCTCACGCTGGGGCGACTGATGTCAGCTTGCAAATTGGCGAGATGAATTTTACCGAGAGGGGGCCCACCTGCCTTGCCAAGTTTATCGCGGGAAGGCATTTGCAGACCTAGGAGACCGGGCGGCGAGGTTTTTAAGGTGGCCTGCTGCTGCCATTCGGTCAGATTTGTTCTGAATGTGATGCGTTATCCGGGCCAAACGAAGCAGGGCATTGACAATGGAAGAGAGCCAGTTTGACAGGTGCCCGTTGCCGTGTATGTGCGGGGCAAGCCCTGCAGACCCCATCTGGCGGTAACGCAGCACATTGTACTTATCCATACCGCTGGGATGTTGGAGCGCTTCATCGAAAGGGTCAACATGGCTCGTACTTGCTTGAACATGTGGGAAGAGCCTACTCAGCTGGCTTGTAGCACGATGGAGTTCAATGGGTGACAAATGAAGGAAATGAGCGGCGGCCATCGTGCCCCTGGGCAGAAGTCCGGTGCCTACTAGCCGGTCCCTTGGACCCGAGGAAGGGCGGCGGAAGCAGATCTCCTGACCTGGCACGATGACGCGTTCGATTCCGGCAGTCCTCAACATCATTTTGGGTTGTTGTGTGGTTCACTTTCAGAAATCACATGAGCGCAAACAGATACTGGACCCGATGAAGGCGCCGTGCATGACGCCCGACGCCGATGCCGGTTTGAGCTGACGTTTCCGGTATCACCTCTTCACAGCTGGACACTTTGTTAGACGCTAGACTCTGAACGTCCTGCTACACATGGGCGACGCTCCTTTGCGAAATGATATCCCAGTGACTGTCTTCACTGGATTTCTGGGCGCTGGGAAGACGTCACTCATCCTGTCCCTACTGCCCCACCTCCCGAAATACTATAAAGTGGTCCTGCTCAAGAATGAGTTTGGGGATGTCGAAGGTGTGCCTAATCGAGTTGCGTATTTGGCGCGCGTGTATGTTGATACTATATACAGTGGATAGCCAGCTTGCGAAGCAGTCATCCCTTGCTTCTGTGAGCGAAATCTTAAATGGGTGCATGTGCTGTGTGCTGGTGGGGAAGATGAAGAATGCCTTGTTGGAGATTAGAGAAAACTTTGCACCTGATCGGGTGATCATCGAGTGCTCGTATGTTTGACCAATGCTTTCCCGCCGGATTCATCTCTGACGCTTGCACTTTAGTGGCTCAGCATTCCCTGCAACGATCGCATGGCAGATCCGTGAACTCGAGAAAGAAACCGAAGGCGGCTTCAAGCTCGATGCCATCTTGACCGTCATAGATGCGGAGAACTTTACAGGATACGAGGACGACAGCCCGACTGCAAAGATGCAAGCAAAGTACACCGACATCTTGCTTGTTGTACGCACCGTCCTCCCAGAGATCTTTACCACTGCTAACCGCCGAACGCAGAACAAGTACGAGACTGTCTCCGAACGAGCGTTAGATATCGTCATAGACCACCTCAATACCCTGAACGACATGACACCCAAGATCAAGTGTCCGAAAGGAGTCGGAGTAGATCCGTCTCTCATCTTCAACTTGGACTCGACGTTATACCAACTATACGACTCAAACTTGGACGTTCCTGTGAACCATCATGATGAGGTCGAAACCGCGACAGTCTGGCGAGGAGGTTCAGACCCACATACACATGGCGCCGCACATAATCCGCACCACGATCACGATCACGATCACGAATCAGGATGTCATGCTGCGTCAGAATCTGCTACTCTAACAGAAGAGAGCCTTACCGCTGCATTATCGGTTTTGCCAAAAGAGGATATCTACCGCGTTAAAGGCTTCGTTCGACTTCCTGCCGGCATGAGCATTCTCAACTGGGCGTTCGGGAGATTCGAGCTCACCCCTCTGCAAGACGAAAGAGAGATGAAAGACGTAGACATTAGATTAACAGTGATGGGCGCGAGAGGTGAGGTGAAACGAAGGGCCCGGAAACTTGCCGAGATGCTTGGGGCAAATTTATCGTAAACCCAATGCTGGACAATTGTTTGTAATTCTTAGATTGTACTCGTAGACAAAATAGAGGTTGGCTTCCGTTGTCAGGCGTCGTTCACAGGCAATCCGTTCCCTCTTCCAGGAAGGGGGTTCTTGCGCTTGAAATCATCGCTCATTTCCTTCATCGTCACCCACTGAACTCCGTCGTGCTACAGGCGAGCTGAGTAGGCTCTCCCCGCATGCTCAAGCAAGTACGAACCGTGTTGACCCATTCGATGAAGCGCTCCAACATAAGGATCACATGCGGATGACCAGACACATCCGGATGGATCGTAATCGGGAACACAAAGTCATCATACTCTCGATAAAAGTAGCTGAGCACGCAATCCTCAGACGGCATCCGCAACAGTATCATGATACCAACGCCCACCTGAACTGATCCTTCCAAAGATTTTCTACAACTCTGGTGTCCACCCACCCATGCGAGTTCGGGAACTGCTTGATAAACATAAACGGTTCCATGTCGTCCAAGTACCAACTGGTAGGTATCTCCACGAGCCCAGTCTCAGTCCCGCGAATAAGAGGTTTCATCCACGTCTTGGCCTCGGCAGCATAGTCGATCTTGGTCCATGTATGTCCTACGCGCCCATAGTAGGGCTCTGCATCCCGGTGCATGTTTGTACGAGAATATTCGATGCCGTGTGAGAGCAGAAGCGCGGACGTCTGCGGGGAGTTCTCACACCATGGGGCTACGTAACCCACGCTGTGCAAGGGGTAACCTACGCGCTTCTGAGGGAAACATAGCACGCACGGTGCCTTTCCGCAGTACTTGGTCGCGAGCTGTTCCCTGTCAGCGTCGAACGAATTAGCGTGGGAATGCTCGCCTCAAAGGTATACTCAAGCACGTCAGCCTCCTGCTTCGGGGTCATCGCGATCGGGTTCTGCGGTCCATACAGTAAGTCCCGATCTCCTCCCAAAGTGGGTGCGTACCTCATGCGAATAACCTAACAAAGATCAAGCATCAGCTATCAATCACCCTTCCAAAAGCGTGGGAGTCGGACCATGAAGCACAACCTCGTGCCCCGCCTCCCAAACCGCACTCATCTCCTCAGGGAACGTCTCCCACGAATGTCCGGGTATCTACGCCCGTCAGCCCCACCCATCTGCATCTGGATCAAGACCAGACGCAGGAAAAAGTACGCACAGCCCAGGAAGTCTTGATCCCATACTTGGAGAAGAGCCTGAGCAGCCTCGAACTGCCTGCTTGGCCCGCGAACATCCCCCGGGCGATATCGCTCGGGCTGTTCTCCCCGCCGTAGGAGCCTAGCCTGCCGATGTGTGAGAAGGGAAGGACTGGGGAGTGAAATAGGAAATAGGGGGTACCAGCCTGCCGTGCAGTGCATTGTTAGAGGGCGTAGGAGGGGAAGGGAGAGGACGCACCGGCAACAGCGTCCACGTCTACTCCTGTACAGACTTGTGCTCTGGGCATGTCAGATAACCGCTATCCAGGCTAGGCACAAACCAGGGGAGGACTAGCAAGCCCCCGTTAAGGAGCTGCAGTGTACAGTGTGCGAGGTGAGCTGGCCCATGCGGATGGAGGACGTCCACTACCTTCATCGGGAGTCGAGAGTAGGGCGATAAGCAGCCGAAGAGGAACGTCCACCCGCTGCGAAGGGCAAACGAGCGAACAATAGAGAAAAGGGGAAGCCAGCAAACACTCCTTGTGCTGCTGGGCAGACGCTGGTGAAAGAACCCAATCCTGAGCTGGCAGAGGTCGAGTCTGCAAGTCTGCGAAGTGCGATCCTTGTGTTGAAGGCTTCTGGCTTGCATGCGTTCCCCAGCTTCCAGCTTCGCGATGTCGTAGCCTGGTAGCGCGGACACCCACCCCATTCAGGGGTCTAAGATAAACGCGTGTTTTAATTCTACAGTTTGGTCGTCTACAGGCTGCGGGCTAGCGCTAGTATAGATGGTCCGTGGTCCGTAGTACGTAGTACGTCGCAGGAGGGGAAGAACATGCTGGCAAACAACAGTGAGGGTAGACAACAAACAACAACAACGCGAAGAACAACAAAGAGCTACAAAGGACTGTGCCACTCGCCTTCGGCAGTGCACAGCTCCAAGGGGTAGGGAAGCAACATCCCATGCACTGGCAGTATGAACAGCGCTGTAAGAAAGAGAGAAAGAGAGAGAGTCAAAACGAGCGTGGGGTTGAACGAACGTCGGGTTTTAAAGAACGGGCTGTCCAGCGCCTCGCCCCCTCGTCCCCTCCCCCCCGCCCACATACAGCAGGTGGCAGATCAAACAACGCGAAAGAACGAGAACAAAGCAGAAAAAACAGAGTGTCAGTTCTCAAGCCACCGCGATCCCCGTCGCCGCCGGCAAACTGACCGTCAACTCCCCACTCGTATAAGTCGGCTCCGCAGCAACACTCGTATAACTCGCGTTTCCCCATTTCTCTCCAGGCACCGGCCCGCACCCCTGGCCCTGGCCCCCCTCCAACCCCTGCAAGCTCTGTAGATACTCCTGACTCGTCTGGTTCCCTTGCGGCAGAGGGACGACCCCTTCCCCTAGCAAGTCCAAGAACGAGTACTGGCGTTGTTGTTCCGGAGGTGCAGCTGCAACTCCTAGCAGGGACTGGTTAGCCCTCAAAGACCAGAAAACACCTCCCGCGCTCCAGGCCCAAGCCGTCACTTGCTGTTCATAAAACCGGGTTTCGAAGCTACTCCCGTTCAGCCCTGTCGTGAGGGACCATTCTGTCACCGCTACAGGCACAGGGTAGCCTTGGTAGGAAGAAGCGTCTTGACATACTTGGGCGAGGATGTCCTGGCTGTCTGTTTGCAGTGGGAAGTTGCCCGGGTAGGGGTGATCTTCTAGTATGAGGTAGTTGGGGTCTTTGCCTGTGACAAAGTCTAGCCAGTAGGCGAGGTGGTCCGTATCCGGATACCCGTGGTGGAAGATCATCGGCACCGGGTCGTCGCGCTGTGTACACGCCGCGTAGGACCTCTCGTAAAACGCACGGAGGACGCTAAAGTTATCCGCAGAGTTCGGCACAGGCTCGTTACACACCTCGATCCCGGCGACGGTGGACCGGTAGGGGGAGGCGCTGATCCAGCCTAGTGCGGTGGAGAGGGTCGCGTCGGCCCGGGATTGGTAGGCGGGTTGGTAGAACCGCACGTCTGTGGTGTTGTGTCCTGATTGCTGTTCGCCGTTTTGAGAGCCTGGGAGACCGTGGAGGTCTATGAGGACGTACACTGGGTTTGTTAGCGGGGCGCAGGGAGGGAAGGGGGGACGTACTACCGCGCTTGTAGGCCCAGCTCATGACTCTCTCCAGGCGGTCTAACTGGCCTGCTTGGACATACGGTTCCCCCTCTTCAGTCTGAATCCACGCCCAGTACCCCGTAGGGATCCTCAGTGTGTTTATCCCCGCCTTCCAAACCGTGTCCACATCCGCTTCGGTGACCCAGGAATCCCAGTGTGCCTGTAACAACCCCGCTGCGTCCGAACCGGTGAAGTTTGAGAATGTCCACTCGTCCCACGCGTCTGGGGAAGAGGAGTTGACGAACCAGTCCTCGCTCATCCATCGTTCGAGGACGAGGTAGTTGCCTAGGGAGATGCCGATGAGTTTTTGGGATGGGTCGGTCCAGTTCCATTTTGGAAGTGGGGCGAAGCTGGGTGAGTGGTTAGCGTGCAGGTCTGGATATTGGGTGTGGGGACGTACGCGGTGATGTTGTAGGTTGGTGAAGGAGAGGAGGAGTTGCTAGGTGCAGGAGTGCCTGCTTGCCCACTGCCTGTGCCCCCTGAACTGGTAGCAGCCGTACTCGCCCTTCCTAGTGTATGCCCCACTCCAAGTCCTACACCGAGAGCGACGACGGCGAGCAAGCAGAGAGCAAGCAAAGCGATCACATATGGGCGTTGGTACCATTTTTTCTTCTTGATCCGGGTATCGTCGAAGAAAGCGTGTACGCTACTGCGAGGATATGTATAAGGGCGGAGATGGGCTGTGGAGTCGTAGGCGTATGCAGGGAGTGAATCTGCAGACTTGTATTCAGTGGATTCTTGTGACATTCCTAAGTGACGAAGGGGAGTAGGAGGAGATGAGTATGAAGCGTAGGGAGAGTTGAATGGGTAGTGTAATGACTGTTGTGATATGAGGTTGATACGTGATGCCATGGTGGGAGTGACAAAGGAGGAATGTATAAAAAAGAGCGTCGATTGGAGTGCGAATAGTAAACGAATGAATGGCACAGTGGAGTGTAGTAGGTACCAAAAGAGTGGGAGCGAGTAGAGTGGGAGTGAGAAGAGTGATCGAGCGAGTGTGAGTGACCCTTGATTCATCCCTTCACTACAATCATTTATCACATTCAACTAACGTCATACTTACCATACCCATTGCGTCACTCTTCCTCCACATACAATACACTAGTATAGTACACTTCCTACATACCAAATAAGGGATAACACTCACAGCCGATCACCACCGAATACCTTACACAAGGATACATCCGTCGCACCAAACCTTGTCCACAGGATGGGATATCCTATCGCCTCCTGTCTCGCGGTTCTCTAGCCGTGCGAGTAAGGACGACTGCAGAAATAGGTGCATACATATCCTTTCAGCGCTTTGCACCGGCGGTTGACAAGTACCGTTTGGTTTTGTGTTCCGAATTTCCAGAACCTTGCCTGTCCTATTCTCAGTCTACCAAACCTGCAGACCGCGGCACCTCTCCTCGCTGCCCATCCTCCCTCCCTTGCACTTCCTTGCCGCTCCTGTTCGTGATCAAGCACGTGTATCCCATCCATCCCGTCCAATGCTCTCACTCTTCACTACACGAAATCTAATAATACATTGTGCGCAACCCTCACCTTATTATACTACACCCCCTGCCCCCTGTTCTGCAGCTGCTCATCTACCTCAAACGCGTACGGTCCATGTTGTCAGATAACCGAGATCTTCGAGTTCGTCCGCAGCTTGTCGCCTGAAAAGCAGGGCGTCAGCGAGCTCGCATGACACAAGGTAGAATCAAGCAGGAAAGCTTTGGACAACGCCGACAAGATCAGAGTTTAGGATATAGATATTGCGTGGTATACAGTACAGTACTGGTATGATAAGACAAATAATAGAGCCCCAGAGCTGAACGAATGCGCTCGGAGGGGTGGTGGTACATTATGGTATAGGGAGGAGTTCCGGGGTATTCCAGAGATGCGTTCCTCATGTCGGCCCCGCACTCGCAGCGAGGTGCGATAACCCTCCGAGGTTACGGCTCCTGAGTTCGCGCAGCCGTGACATTATCCGACGTTTCCTGCACCTGCACTTGCTCCACCTCAGGCAGCCCCTCGCTCGCCTGCTCCGGGCTCTCTCTCACCTGCTCCGGGCTCTCCCTCACCTCCTCCCCAAACGTCCCAGGCAAAAACCCAAGCCCAACACTCTGCGTCCTGCGCTTCGCCGCCTCCGGCACAGGGTCCATCTTCGCCGGTACCATCTCCGGCGGGGAACGGGCGACTGCCACCTGGGTCTGGGCCTCGGCAGGCGTGCGCGTACCGCTGTCGTCTAGCAGGCCAGCTTCCCGCGCCGCTTGCAGCAGCGAAGCGCCGGTCTCGTCTATCGAGCGTAGGAAACGGAGGACTTCGGCACACAGGGAGTCGGCTTTTGCCGCTACGGCAGCTTTGAGCAACCGGATAACGTCGTCGTGGCTTTCGTCTAGTTGTTCTAGGTTGTGCAGGACCAGGAGGTAGGACGCGGCCGTTTGCAGCCGGTTGGAGGATAAGCATTTCTGGTCTTCTTGTTAGGACTGTCAATGGGGAATGGGGATACGTACCTCGAAGAGCGTGCGTGGATTGCCGACAGTGTTGAACAGAGTCTGCCAACGTGCCATCTCCGTTTTCCTCGCCACGCCCACAACGACCTCCAAGGCATCGTCGAAGTAGTCGAGGAACTCGACGACCCGGGATAAGAGCGGTCCGGTATCGTCCTCGTCTTCTTCCGCATGGTGAACTTGTCCATTCCTCAGCCTACCGCTCACTTCGTCTTCCAAGACATCGTGTAATAAGATCTCGAGTGCGTGTGAGAAGTACACGAGGCTCTCGAAGTATGCACCAAAGTTGACTGCGTCTTCTAATTGGCCTTCTTCGAGATGGAACCGAAGGACATGCTGGATGAACAGATGGCTCTGTCATGCACCGGTCAGATGAGAGCGTACTGCGAGAAGCTGAGGACTTACAGTCGTGACGATCTTGTACATTGCGAATGGCAGACTCTCACGGATGGTAAACTCCGGTTCGACACCGATGATAACCCCTTTATCCGTCAAGACAGCTACACGCATCTCAGACAACGCTGCCAAACCCGTTGAATAGCACTCACAAACAGGATACGAGTCCAGCGGCACATGCACGCTCTCCTTCACGCTCTCATACGCGTCCTTCTCGTCATCCACCTCTACCGCTTCGATGGTGAGCGCATCGAGCCACACCCTCAGGCCACACCCATCAAACGCCCATAGTGAGTTCTCCAGAGCACCCACGCCACGTAACTGTGTCCAGCAGAACTCGACACAGTCAGCAAGTATCTGCATGTCGTATCGCACTTCGTCGGAGCCGGCTTTTCGCGGTCGGAGGAGGACGAGCTTCCCCCCGATCAGCATGATAACGGTAGCGACGATGAGATCATCTGTCGGGTCGCCGAGCTCTGCAAGGCTGTCAGGTTTGTGATTTCTGGAATCTTGTGTGCACGTACGTTTCTGCACCGGTGGGATCATCCAGCTCATACCTCGTACGGCATGAGGAGTGTTGATAACCCCATTAAAGCTGATACTACCACATAGATGCAGCTGGATCGTATCCCGCGTCGGGACGATCAGGAAGTGGAACAGGTTGTTGTCTGCCGTATACACCAGGAGGGAGTTGTCGATCAGCGAGAGGTTCAGGATCGGGGACAGGAACTCCTCCACATGGAGGACATTGTAGTTCGAGAGATCGGTATCACGGGAGTATAACCGTACCTTCACTTGATCAGCAATGATCCCACTGAATGGGATTGAGTACGTACCTGGAATGAGTTCTCCCCCTCGGTCGCAGCGACAAGTACATGATGGAACCATATCATCCCTCCACGGACTATGAATGCCTGTTCTTGTCCCTCGTCCACAAACATCTTCCACCGTCCAGAGGCAGAACTATAATGCACCAAGCCCCGCCGACCAGCCACAGCAATTAGCCGCCCATCAGCGCTGATGGAGGCATAGCGGATCGGCCAGTTGGTGGAGAGGTACGAAGGGGGGATCTTGATGTGCTGCCAGACATCACTTTCGGGGTTGATGACGCTCATGTCTGGCTGGTCGGCTCCGCGGTAGACGAGCACCCTGTCGTCCATGTGCAGGAATGCGTATCGTGCGTTTTCCTGTGTTGAAGTTAGAGGCTGAGATAGGGGCGAACGCTCGTACGCACAGGAGCTTGCTGACCCGTCAGGGCAGATTTAATAAAGGGGACTACGAATATCTGGTCGGCCGGTGCTGTCAAACAAGTTAAGCGCATGATGCGAACATATGACTCAACTCACAATCCGGACCCGGCAGGGCGAACGTGAACAGCTCCGTGTTGCCCATAGACCAAAACTATGCCCATCAGCTGCGTTTCTCACAGAGCAAGCCAACTCACCAGATGATCCACACCCGAAATATATCTATCCTTCGTATCGACGCCCTTCACCGCTCCGGCGCCTCCCAGCTCCCTCCCACCCACGCTCCAGACTCCCCATCCCCCTTCCCATCCTACGGCAACGGCATACCCATCTCCCGTCCAATCCGCGCATTTGATCCGGCCCTTCACGGCCAGGCTTTCCCTACTCAGCTGCCTGACGTGTGCGAAATAGTTCGGGCTGGGGTTGGCCGAAGGCGGGAGAGGGAGGAGGAAGAGCTTGCCCGTAGAGGTGCCGACGAACAGCGTTGAGAACTTGAAGTTGGGCGCGAGGGTCGTTATTTCGTGTACGGTGTTGGCCGGGGTGAGGGGGGTGTTGACAAAAGGGGGAAGGGGGATGCGGATGCCTTGGAAGGATGTGTAGGCTTCGGATTCTGTCTCTTGCGAATGTCGGGATTTGGCGTTCTGAAACTGATCAATCATGGCTTCTAGCAAGGACACGTAGACGCACCTCGCCCATTCGAACATAATATGCGCTGCCGTCACTCATGATCCATCCCCATACCTTCTGCCGCCGCCAATAGTACATCTTGACGACTGTGAGTGTGCTTTCGTCCGTTTCGTGCATATCCTCGGGCGCTTCCTCTGCTTCGGCTTGTGTCTCTTCTCCCTCGTGCGGAGAATACTGTACGCCGTTCCCATTCGCGTGTAGTTCAGCGCCTTCGTCCCCTGCCTCCGGGGCATGTTCTTCCAGCTCCTCAGCGTGCTCTTCCAGCTCCTCCTCCGCATGCTCTTCCAGTTCCTCTTCGGCGTGCTCTTCCCGAACGTCATCCCCATGATCCACACCCACAAGCTCCCCCGGATGGCCCTTAACATCCACTTCCAAAACCTCTCTCTCCAACCACGGCATATCCTCCAACAGCCACACCTCATGCCTCTCCGCCACCTCCAGTTCATTCTCTCCCTTTCCCTCCCCTTCCCCTTCCCCTTCCTTCGGCGGGCTGGGGAAAGGGATCGACTGCACACTCGGCGGGCTGAGCGTGGAGAAGAATATCCTGCTATTTGTAATAGCCGCACACAACAAGCCTCCTTCAAGCTTCACAACTCCTTCAATCCCAATCTCCACGCTCTGTATCGGCCCCCCCTCCCCCGGCGCAGGAGCAAAATGCTTCATCCCCGACCTTGGGAGGTCCGGCATCCTATATGCCGGCGGTGCATGGCCGTACAGCAGAGAGAGGAGGATCAGATGCGAGTCGCTCGTCTGGAGCACGATTCGCGTTCCGTCGGGTGACCAGTCGGCCCAGGTTGCAGGTCCGTGCAGGTCGACTTCTGCTTTCGAGCGGCGGAGTTCGGCGAGGACGACACTTGGCTGCTTGGGGTTAGCTTGGCCGTTTGGAAGTTGAAAGTTGTGAGAGACGTACCCGGACGCGCCAGATTGATATTGAGCTGGCGGTAAGAGTGAGAAAGAGGGTCTTGCGGGCGTTGAGAGAGGAGTAGATGATCGGATCTGGGGATTCGGGTGGGAGGGTAAGAGTCGGTGAGAGGATCCGGGCTGTCGAGGTAGGCCAGTACATCGTTGCCCTTTAACCCCTTTGATCGTTGTCCGTTTATCCTTTGTCCGGTAGTAGAGAAAGTTAAGAAAGAGAGAAGTAATAACTTTTCCAGGAATGAAAGTGCATATTTTAAATATGTGCAAGTTACGGCAGTTGCGGGAATTGTTGTATTTGTTCCTGGTTGTTGAGTCCCTGAACAGAACAGTCGTAGCCACGTCGGCAGAAACTTTCCCGTAACATTAGGTCAGAGTCCACATCAAAAGAATCATCACTCTCAAATAGTATCAAATGATCAAAGAGTACGTCACATCCGACAACAAAACACAACAAATGTCCTTGTAAAACCACGTCAAACATGATGAAGCCTGTGCCCAATGCGCTACGAAAAGAAACGAGAGTATTTAGTCTGAGGTGGCGGACACCGGTAAGCGGTGAGGGGAATCAAAGCATCAGCATTCCCAACACCATTCCTCCCAAAGCAAGCACGCTCCCAAAAGGCAGCTCGAGTCCCACCGCCGAACCGCGGGCCGTGCTGCCGGGGCTGACAGTCGGGGAACCCTGGGCGCTAACGGTAGCCGTCCCCGAACCTCCCGTCGAGCTCGACTTGCTGGTCGCCAGACCCGAACTCGTTGAACTAGACGACGTAGTGCTCGTCGTCACTGCAGTCGAAGCGACCGAGTTGCTACTCGCCAGTGCGGCAGAGTCGAATGTGAACGGCCCCGTGGCAGTAGCGGTGGGCGCCACAGCAGCAAGGTTCGAGATCGAGTTCACCGAGCTGCACATGCTGCTGCTCGGTGCTGCCTGCGCCGAGGGAGTGCCTCCAGCACAAGCCGTGTGCTGGCAATTGCTGTCCCACGTCGACGATCCATAAACCCCCATGGGCGCGCCGTCGTCCGCCTGGCAGGAGGTGAATGTGCCAATATCGTAGTTGGCAGGCATGTTCCACTCGCACCCCTGTTCGTCATACACATGCTGGCAGTAGGTCGTCGCCTCGGGCCCATCGACGCACGCGCGAAAGCAGAACTCGTCAGCGGACATGAAGTTTGTCCATTCATGATACTGCTGTATCCCTCCGAAGGTGGTGCCGAAGACGAGCCCGCCCTGGGGGTTCCCGAGGCCCGTCCAGCTGTGCGGGTCGAGTTCTCCACCACCGTCCCCGGCGGGGATGTTGAGCTTTGTGAGATCGCCGAAGCCGGTGCTGCAGCGCGTGTCAGTACAGTTCGCGCAGGAGGGAAGAGGCGTACATCTGGACGTAGAGAGGCGTCTGGACCCAGTGCGCACCGGTGATGGTCCCATCGGGGATCGTACGCGTGCCATAGCCAGTCTACGATGTATCAGCATGGGGTTGGAGGAGCAAACGAGGAGACTCACGCGCATGCACCAGGATACTTCGTCCTCCTCGGTAGCGCCTATCGTCGAGTTTGTCCCATTCGTCCAAGGCGGGGCAAAGAGACAAAAGTCATCGAGACCATTCAAGTACGCGTTCTATTCCCAACCCAGTCCCGTCAGCGGCTATGGATGTCACAGAGGGAAGGCGTACCTGGCAGAGAGACCCCTGGGAGTTGGTCGTCCCGCACTGATTGGTGCCTATCTGTCCGACCTGAGACTGGTCCGGTGCATCAGCGGGGATATACGTGGCCGAGTACTGCGCCGTTGCCGAGCCTGCAAGAAGAAGGAGGGCGAGCATTGTGAATGTTTGGATAGGGTTGTACTGATTTGCAGGTATGCTAGCAGGGGAAAGAGTTACTAGATGTGTTGGTGGGCGGTTGATGTAGTGCTGGCCTGTGGGGTGCTGTGCTGTGCAATTCCCCGATGTAGACGGATGGATGAAGTATCCTTCCTAGCCTGAGCGGTAAAATCGGAGGATGAGAAATGGGAATAAGAGAGAAAAGGTAAGGGTGAAAAGAGGTGAAAAGAGGCCGTGTATGAGGGCAGGGACACTTCACACCACATTGAGGCGGAATATGGAAAAAAGGCATGTTGTCCCTGGTTGCTAGTTCCGATTCAATCGGACTCACACCAATAAGGCGCTTCTCAACTGCCAAGAGAATTAAAGTTGTGTATTTTTAGTAACAACGTCACTCATCACCAAATAGACGCTCATTCCTGCCATCGATTCATCATTCATCCGACTCAGAGGTATCGGATCCATCCACTTGGTAATCTTCAACAAACCTCGCGAATTAGATACGACATTATCCGCAGTTTCCTTCTGCTCTTTGCTCAACATCTCCGGCATCTCCCGGTCATAACTGAATACCCATGACGCTGGCAACCGAAGTAACCCGGCAGCCGACCTTTCTAAACACCACCGCACATCTCCGCCAACCCAGCGGGTCTCAACCAGCACACCCAATACACTCTAGATCTCCTCCTAAACTTCGCACCCCCGAAGCTTTCTCAGAGTAGAGCCCCGCCATCAAAGTTCGAGGGTGCCCGTCCACGTGACATTGGTAAGATGAGATGGGAGGCGGGAGGTCCAGAACTTTCGATCTGACCGTCCCCACCCCGTGTGGAGCCCCGACCTAGGCTAGCTATATGCGCATATATAAACCCCCATCCTGGCCATCACGCCGTCTCCCGCATCCTTTCTCTCCCTCCCTCTGTTTTCTTCTAGTTGGCCGTTCCGGTCATCCACCTCGCTCGACACTCGGCCATGTTCCTGATTTATGCGCAGCGCCCTATGTACGGGTGTATCGCTCACAGGCAACATACATGGCCGCCTCCCGGATGAACATCGTCGTTCTGACATGTCGCCGGCAATGCCAGCGCAGTGACGACGCCCCAGTGCGGAGTTGCGCCTGCCGGCATTGAGAGGTTTCGTGATATCTCCGAGTCCGTTCTGGACCTGGGATTTGAGCAGGGGATTGTCGAGTCTGTATCATGTAGAGTAGAGTAGAGTAGTTGAGTGGGGCAGCACGGTAAGGGCGGGTTGGAGAGATATTGGCCCGGCTTGTGCATCTTGCTGTGACCACTATCTTTCCCCTTCCCATTCGATGGCGAGTCTGCTGCTGGAAAGCTTTCAGCAGCAGATTCGTGATCATATTCATGCTCCGACTGAGTGTATGCTGTGTTGTCACTGCCCTGAAGTTCCTGCCTGGTCCCTCGTGCTGGGCAGCTCGGTGACTTCGATCGGACAACTCTAAGAGTCCTTGCTGTCGGGCAGTCGAAGAGTCGGCAATATCGTCAAGCGCATATACGACCTGTTCTCCTTTCGCACGGGCAGGAGCGTTGTTGTACGCCAAGGGTTAGGCAGCATCGTATCGGTTTTGCCAGAATGTGGCTTCATCGACTTTGGGACCTCGATGTCCATTTCGTCCGGCTCGTCGGTCGTCAGACTGCGTTTGCCGCGAAAGCTCAGACCAGGCTGTATTACGGGAGTACCGTCGCTGGTGCAGGGGAGGGAGGCGGGAGCGGCGTTGGCGTTGTCCACGACCTGGGCATTCGGGTGCGGCATCCTCCTGGAACTCATCAGTGAGGCTGTTGTCGCGCAAAGACATGCTGGGCGTTGACGGAGCAAGGTGCGTGCAGGGGAGTGAGAGGTTGGAGCAAGTAGCCGTGCGATGGATGTTGGTTGTTGCAAGAGCAATTGATCACAAGGGTGGTCGTTAACCAGGAGGATGTCGATACCGTTCTAACTAGCAAACTAGGAAGCCTGGACAGAGATCCTGCATCCAGCTCAACGTACGACTTGGACGCAGAGAGCATTGAGTCGGATGCGCAGAGTTCCGTGCTTAATAATGTTATTGACGATGTGCAATCTCGAACCTGCTCAGCAATGATGACCAGCTTATGTCCACGAGCATTATTGGAACATCATACCGCACACATTGACCGAGTCTTCGTGCACTACCGGCCGTCACCGGAAACAGTCACCAGATAGCTAAACAGGAGCAATGAAGCATCGCATTCCCCCAAGTAAAGATTAACAACACACTACAACACAAGTCGTCAGTCATCACGCACACCACGCACATCACATCACTTCACTTCACTTCACGTCTCCCAGATCCTGACTCCTAAACAGGCCCACCAGCAACAACCTCTAACAAGTCCTCTGGCACCCGCCTGCCCAACACCCCAGCCCAGAAGCGCATAACCGGCTCCCACTCCTCTCTACTGCGGGGCATCCCCTCCCCTCCCGTGATCTTGAGCTCCTTCATTTCCTGGAACGCTCGCTCGAACGCGCGTACTGCTGAGGACGGGAGGGCGGACGCCGAGGGTGGTAGGCGGTGGAAGACGAGAATAGGAGTCGCGCAGGCTGGGGTGAATGTTGGATGTTCTAGAAGCGGACCACCGATTGTCACCACCGAAGCTAAAGCGAGGGGCTCCACCGTCTCCCCCCCTGAAGGGAACACCCGATCCTGCCAAACCCGCACCGCAAGCTCGGCAGCCACGCTCCCTCCCTGGGCAAAGCCAAACAGGTGGATCTTATTCACTGGCCAGTGGCAGTCGTCCACCAGCGCTTTGAGGGTGAGGAGGAGGACGTCTACTGCGCCTGTGGGGTCGGGTCGGGTGAGAAGGTCTCCGAGGGGGTCGAAAGAGGGGTACCATTGGAATGCGTCTTCTTCTAGGAATGGGATCCTTGTTGCGTGTGAGCAGATACAGGAAGGAGATGAAGGAGGTGATCGTACCTCAGGGGCGCACGGAGGGAGAGAGTCGCTGTTTGAGGGAGCTTCAACGACCGGCCCAGATTGGCAAACGGGAGTTCCGTATCGCCTTCATATCCGCAGCAGCGACAATGATCACTCCATCAGCCGCGGACCAAAAAGCACGAAGAAGCAAGCAAGCAAACCAAGTCCATGTAGTAGGATCAACAGGTTTTCGTCCGTCCCGTCGTTGCTAGGCGCATATGAGTACTTCAATGGCAGCTTCCCTGGTGCACGTTTCCGGCGAGGGGATCGGTCTGGTGCGTGTACGGTGACCGTGCTTGGTTGGGACATTGGTCAGAGATGAATGGGTTTCGTTGAACCCTGGACATGCCAGTGACTCGAGGTGAGTACAGAACAATATAAATAAGACGGTCATGGGAGTCTCCACATTGGGAAATTATAATCAAATTTCAGCACTGCCCCAAAGAACATGTCCTCCCTCACCTCCAAAGTCGCCATCATCACTGGCGCCGGCGGTGGGCTCGGTAAAGCCATTTCCAAAGCCTTCCTTGCCGCAGGCGCCAAGGTCGTCCTAGTGGACATCAACACTGCGTACCTATCTGGTGCTGCTGCCGAGCTAGGCGAGGACGCGCTCGCGATCGAGGGGAATATCACGAGCGACGCGAGCGTGCAGAAGATCGTAGAGGAGACGGTGGCCAAGTTTGGGCATGTGGACATCCTCGTTAACAACGCGGGCGTCATGGACAACTTTGCACCTGCCGGAGACGTTGATACCGATAACTGGGACAAGGTCATAGCTGTCAACCTTACTGGGTCGATGCTGATGAGCCGCGCGGTGATCAAGAATTTCTCGGCCAAGCAGACGCCGGGAGGAGTGATCTTGAACGTTGCCTCCATCGGTGGACTATTTGGGAACCGTGCTGGGGTGCGTTGTCCATCTAAACCAGAGATCAACTGTGTAACGATTCCTTGCAGGCGGCCTACACGGCAAGCAAGCACGCCGTCATCGGCCTGACGAGAAACACCGCTGCTGCCTATCACAAGCAGAACATCCGGTGCAACGTCATCTGCCCCGGTGCAATACCTGGCACGAACATACAGGACGCGTTCAAGAACGGTGTTCATCAGGAGAACATGAACTTGTCGATGACGACGATGGCGATGCAGCCGAATACGGTCGACGTGGACGAGTTAGCTGGCGTCGCCGTGTTCCTGTGCTCGGATGCGAGCAAGTCACTCAGCGGGTCCATCATCGTCGCCGACGGTGGGTGGACGTCATTCTGAGGAGTTCTGGATGATTCGAAGAATGCGAGAATGCGATGTAATAGCACAGTGTGTTAGGGAATACAACATGAATATGGTAGTCAAGTGCGATTTCTCAACCCATGAGCTGCGAAATGTCTTCCGGTGGATATTTGGTTTGTGCAAACGTGAGCAATCTGGCGCTTCGTCAGAGTGGGAACTTGGGCGATGCCATGCAATACGCACCGCTTCACGCTCTGGATATACTTCCTGCTGACTTCGTCGTTAAGCACATGCGCCACCTGATCGGTCGAGATCTTTTCTCTTGCAGAACGCTCGTGGATACTGCATTTCGTGAGCTCGTATCCCTTCCTGTGGGAGAAGCACGCACCCAACCATAGTGACCCCAATCGGCCACGCAGCATTCCCGATGCTCAACCTCAGATAGGCATCATTCGCACGTTGATACTGTCGGTGCTGCATGTGGTATACAATTTCAGCGAGCTTGCCTAACACGTCATCGTCCATTGTCTTGGTTCGGAGCTGCTTGAACAACGGTTTGAGGTACTCGGCAGACTGAACTTGCGTCGCCGCTGCAAGCTTTCCTTGCGCTGTGCGTTTGATACTCTCTACCTCCAAATGAGCATGATAGTGGCTGGGTGTTGAAGGGGAGAACGAAGTCGCACCTGGTCGCTCTGCCATAGCCACCTCCCACTCCTTCAGCTTCTTTTTCAGCGCAAAGTATATCGCCGGATACAGCTTCTCCTTCGCGTCCTTGATCCACTCCAACTGCACCTCATCATCCTGCTCTCTCTTCCTGCCTTCGTCCTTCCCTCCCTTAGCCTCGCAATGTGCCGGCGCAGCCGCAGACCCGGTCTGCTTTGCTTTAGCCTCTCCTTCCGCACTCTCGAGTACTTCCAAAGCCCGCTTAAAATCGTTTTGTCCCGCCCGATCACCGCCCCGCTCTTCCATGAGTTCCAGAGCCCTCAATCTCAGCCTTCGCTCGCGTTCTGTTTCTCCGAACATTGTTACTGGCTGACCCTTTTGTCGCAGACGGCGAATGACTTCGGGTGTTGACAAATGCGCCATTTCTCCGCCGGCTTTGGGCTCTGCCTCAGGTGCGGGAGATCCTGTGTCGGCCGTTGGAGCGGGACTGGCCGAGGGTGCAGGTGATCGTGCTGGTGAAGCCGTCTATATGCACTTAGTTTGATCGATATACCCAACTACGCAAGTGATACTCACCTTCAGCAACTGCTTCTTGCGCGCTAGTTCCTTTTCCCGTTCCATAGCCTCTACCTCTCCTCGCCGCATATACTTCTTCGGTCGGCCATTATGATCCTCCAATGCCTTCCGCTTTGAAGCAAGCTCAGCAGCCAGAAAATCCATTGTCGAAAAGGATGAGGTAGTTTAGCTCAGTATAAGGGACCTTCTGTGAGTGAATTGTCCACTGCGGGCGGAGATGTCGGCATCAATTGATTCCGCTTGTTGCATCTCCGCTGCTCTGTCCCGCCGCTTCCTCCTCCTCCTCCCTCCCCCACCGCTCTCCTGCTCTCCCATACCGTTCATTGCAAGTGGAATCATGTCGGATACGGATCAGTCTGCGTAGGTGCACACTGCTATGCTGAGAGAAACTGTGTTGAGAAACGTTGGGTATAGCTCCTTCGTCCTCCAGACAGCTGGCTTCGACGGTACGCACTTCCTTTCACCGCCTCAAACAGGCAACTGACCCACCTCGACCAGCCCGCTTCCCCAACCAGAACCAGACCAAGCACTGCTACCAGAACTACATTGATTATTACAAGTGCATCGCTGCTAAGGGCGAGGACTTCCCGCCTTGCAAGCAGTTCTTCCGCGCGTTCAACTCGCTGTGCCCCAGTACGTCCTCTGCTCCTTTTATACCACCCTCTACTGACCATTCTAACAGATTCATGGGTACTCCATTACATTTTTTCTTATAGACTCTATACTGACAGCATGTGTAGATCGGTCAATTCGATGAGCAGCGCGAGAACGGCACCTTCCCTTCTTCCCTGGAGCCTTGAAGCACTTCGTACATTAGAATGCGCTCCCTTGCCCTGTTCTCTTCACCAAACAGCCTACAATGTGCTGTAAACCTCATCCCTGGAATCTATCTCTTCGAATGAAAGAAAGTTCCTGATCATTCATGGATTCGTGGATTGTTAGCATGCGAGCTGCCACCAATAGTGTGAGCGCGACATGCCGATGAGCTGCGGGAAGCATGTGTATCTTCCTCTCATGGCCCTGCTTGAACGTGCTCCACTGAGAAAGGCAGATGCATCACACGATCAGCTATTACACACGGAATCTACCCAACACATCGCCTTCGAACAAGGCAAGGGGACTATCATTGCTCTTTCACCCCCTTAGTCAAACACATCAGCCGAACCTCCCCCATCCCTTCCCCTCCCTCGCTTCCACCCAGAAACACGCGTTCATCATCCCCGAACGCCCAGTCTGTGTCTCTTACCCGCAGGCCTTGGTTCTCTGCGCGCACCTAGATGAGTTTTGGCACTGACATTATAGCAGACAGCACGCACCTGCTTCCCGGATGAACGCATTAGTCGTTTCTTCATTCCTTATCGCTCCAGCAACCCAGCACGCTCCAGCAGTGCCCAACGTCAAGCGTAGAGCTTTCACAAGATCCGGTACGATAGAGGTATCGAACACGACGTCACAGGCGATGACGACGTCTGGCTTCATCTGCTGCATCTGGGCCTCTACCTCAGGGAGAGAGGAGGTCCAGTCTAAGGAGGTGGTATGCAGCCCAGGGTGTGCTTCAAGGTTGTCTACGTTCTCAATGATTAGCATATAATTGGAAAGAGAGACAATGCGTGTGCGGTACTCACTGCAAGGCAAGTGCACGTTATTCGCACACCGGTGCAGGACCGCGTCCGAACAATCGGTCATCCACACCTCGCCTACCCCGTTCCCTTCCCCAGCTAGAAGTTGGAGCTGAGCAACAAGTATTCCCAGGAAACCCGTGCCGCTGCCCAGCTCAAGCACTTTCTTTCCCTTGACAACTTCTGTTTCCTACATCAGCTGGATCCGCCAGGGAAAGGAGAACGCACCAGAGTGGGCAAGGAGCCATTCCCCCATCCATAGGGCGGCACGCCAAGTTCTCAGCCCCGTCGTGCCCGCTTCTACAAGGCTAGGGCTCTCGAATACGGTCAATCGGCCCCAACCCTCTTCATCCGCCTGCTCGCGTGCACATAGGCAGCCTGGGGGAGAGCGGTGGCCGTTTTCCTGCCCCCTTGAGGAGAGGCGGAGGGGGTAGTAGTGTGTCCTGTAGGACGGAGAGGGGGGAGTGACTTGCAGGCCCGGACTGGAAGTGGAATGGTTACTACATCCTTCCCTGAGAATACAACCGGAGGGAAACGATGGGAGCACCGGAGAGCAGCAAGCACAGATAGAGGTACACGAGACAGATTAAATACGCAGAGCATGGACACACGGATGAGCATGTGGTCCCAGGGTGCGGAGGGCTACGCACGAGGACGACCCGGCCATGGCATCCATGAATGCCTCATAGATCTCTTCATCTATCGGCTGCCCGGCGCGGTCCGCTCAGCCCGCACGCCCCTGTTCGAATGGAAATAGATACGTACATAATCTGCACGAGCTTCGAGCTCGTCTACCAACCGCTTGAAGAACCGGGTTTGATAGGCGTGGGATGGCGGGTAGGAGGTGAGGTGCGGGTCATTGATTATTGTGAGGAGGGTGTTGCAGACGGATTTGCTGCTGCTTGGGATGGGGATTGAGAGTGTAGCAGTGAGAGCAGCATATTTTCGCAGGAGCAGAGAGGGCATCGTGATGGACAAGTAAGGGGGGGGCAGCCCAAGGGGAGGGTTGTGGAGACGCAGTGAATGATTACAGCGTGCGAGGAGCGGTCCAGATTATAACGCATTCGACAAGCGCCCGTGTGATGAGGCAAGCACCCTAGGATACCCCAGGGAAGGAAGACATGAGGTAATATCGACCGGTTATTGGCTGGCAGGATTCTACTCGGCAGAGACTCGGAGGAAAGAGGCGAAGACTAGTACAGGTCAGGTGGGAGAAGGAAATATATTGAACTGGACCAGGTAACAGGTTTGGTTTGCGGGCGTGAAACTTGGATGAGACCTCAATAGCCACCGAAATTCCCGCTAGATATGAGCAAACACAGGCCGTAGAATTCGCTGTGAGTGTGTGAAAAGAAAAACTGCAGAGAGTGCGACAAGTGTGAGCAGGTGGTCCAAGTTGTGGTTAATGAACATGAATAATTTGTTCATTTGCGTGGCACCACCACACTGATAACAACACGTGAAGGGCGGACCTACCCTGACTTATCACAAATCGCCCCGATGCTGCCCACAATCCTATATAGTGAAGCAAATGGCAAGAAGCCGGGGGCAAAGCCACGCGAAAAAGCACGTGGTTCACGTGGCACCACGTGCCAGTAAGGAAGTAAATCCGGACCCTAAGTCCAAAATTGGAAGTCGAACTAAATCTGCTTCCACTGCGGCAGTGCGGGTCCCTAGGAGGCTGAGGGTTACTTAACCCTGGCCCTTTTTAAACCCTACCTCTAACCCATATCCCCAAATATTCAACATATAATATATGAAATACATGCATGCAAGGTAAAGGTATATTGACTACAGAGCTACATAGACTGAACAAAAGACTTACAACCCTAACCAAATAGGTATTCTACCCTGGACCTTTACTATATAAAGCACTCACAGAAACAGGACACAGGACACAGGACACGGGAGATGGGAGATGGGAGATGGGAGATGGGAGATGGGAGACGGGAGACGGGAGACGGGAACTATGTGTAGCAAATAAAAGACTCTTGCACCTAGAATGATGAGCAAAGCAAGACGGGCTCCCCTAGTTTCACTTGTGACAAGGGGTGCACATCACATGCCACTTAGGTAAGCGGGTCCTAAAGGGTCTTCCCAGGAACAACCGGCCCTCATCAACCCTCAGCCACTCTCAAAAGAACTGTACAGCATCACGAGGGTCTTTCACCAGACAAGCGCTCATCATCTCTCTACTCTCAACAATCCACACTTCGTCACCGCTGTCTCCAACAATATGAGTTACGTCGCGAAGGAAAAGGAATACGACGCCGCGGGCAACGTCGCTACTGGCAAGACCCACCGCATCCGCATCACCCTCACCAGCTCCAACGTCAAGAACCTCGAGAAGTGTTCGTCTCTTATCTATTCTCTAAAGTTCCCCTAACTAACTTGTTTACAGTCTGCGGTGATCTCGTCAACCGTGCCAAGGACAAGGACCTCCGTGTCAAGGGCCCTGTTCGCCTCCCTACCAAGGTCCTCAAGATCACCACCCGTAAGACCCCTTGCGGTGAGGGATCCAAGACCTGGGACCGCTACGAGCTCAAGGTGCACAAGCGCCTCATTGACCTCAACTCTACCAGCGAGGTCGTCAAGCAGATCGTGCGTTCTAATGCGTCGCATAATGCGTGTTGTGCTAATCAGATCCCGTAGACTTCCATCTCCCTCGAGCCCGGTGTCGAGGTCGAGGTCACCATTGCCAACTAGATGGTTCCTCGCCCCACTTCTCGTTCATGTACGGTTGGCTGTCGGGTGGGATAAGTAGTCATTAGCTACTTATCTTGCAATGCATGCGTGTGCCTCTCCCTTGAGTTTGCACCATATGGTTCACTTGCGCAATCGACCCTTCCGGAACAGTTTGGTTCTGATTGGGATGTGAATGCTACAAAACCATCGGCCGACTCTGGGTCAAAGGTTACATGGCGAAAAAGTATGCCCGCGGTGCCCCAATACCGAGCTTAGAAGGCGCGACACAGATCTTTCTGGGATTTTACTTTCAGCAGTCTTTCTAGTACCACTCCATGGTGCATAGATTAGCAGCAAGAGACGTGTTGTGAAGGGTGTCCACAATGCGGGGCTGGTATATAATTCAGGTCATGTCGACGTCGCACAGTGGGATCAATGATATCTCTAGCTGAACTATGTCTTAACGCCGGTCATCTACTATGTTCAATCCTTCGTGGAGCGAAACGTCGTCCCCATCCCCTCTCTAGCAATCCTCTCCACCTCCACTTCTGCGAAACCCAGACCAAGCGGCGGTGGGGCGAGAAGAAGGGCATACTCCTCGAACAGGCTATTACGGAAGGGGAGCGTGTCGTCCGTCTGTCATCCCCGTCAATTCGTACCTGTTAATTCAGAAAAGCTACGTACGCAGATCACGACCGGGTGTTGGTGCAACAGCAAGTCGGAAATATGGTGATCTTGCAGCGAGGGCACCGTCTTGCATAGCACGTTTGACGTCAAGCAAATCTCGACCGGTATCTTCTCGCGTCGTACGATAGCTTGTGCAGCGGGGGTGAGAAAGGTTGCGTGGCCCAGCCGATCGGGCTTGGCGGAGAGAAGCGTAAGCGTGTCAGGTTCGTCGTTTTGAGGAGTCTGTTGTAGGTCAGTTAAAGTGCGAACGGGAGTGAGATGTATGTGCGTACTTCGGCGATGTGGAGTGTTAGCTTTAGACCAGCGTCGTGTACTGATGCGAGGATTGGGGCGAAGTCTTCCATATTTCCTGTCTGAAGAGTATAGATTAGTGCTGCAACACAGAGTAGATGGATTGACTTTTTACCAACGGATCACCGCAAAGATCGACGCCGACGATCGCCCTCCCTTCCCGCTTGAGCGTCTTAGCCAACTCGACATACCTCGAGACATCATCGACAGACATACGCCGGTCAACGCTCAGGATCAACGCGGCGCGTCCTTCGAAGGACTCGATAACGTCCAGCACTGTCGAGAGATACTCTTCTGCCGTCATATGAGGGGTCTTGCGGGGTGTTGTTCGGAGCTCGATATACTGGCATTGGGGAGGTGACGTGGATAGGAAAGAGGCGAGCACGGCTTGGGTAGCTTTCTTCACCGCTGGTGGGGTAGATGTCAACGCGTAAATAGCTGGGAACAACCCGAAGAAACTCCAGCAGACTCGGTCAGCGTATAACAATGCCGTCTGAGAGGCGCTCACTCCGAGATCTCGCTGAGAACAACACCTGTCTCCAGCACGGCGAGTCCACGTTGTACCTCAGCGGTCATCGAACCACCGTTGAAGGCATGATCCCTAGCAAGCTCCTGCAGACAAGCGAGCGGTATGCATCCATTCAAGTGAGCGTGCACCTCAGCTTTCGGAAGAGCCTTGATAAACTCTTGCTGGGCGCTGCTCAGTGCGCGCCATGCTAGACCACCCGGGTTATCTGGTGCTCCTAGGACTGAGTGGAAGTCGACGCCCATGTTGTCCAAGAGCTTCCGGATGTCCAAGGGAGACAAATTGCACGAGAACAGTTCCAACAGATCTGAAGCCTTTGAATCCTCACTCAGTCGCCAGCACTGTATGATTTGAAGATGTGACTAAGCCTCGAAAATGCTACGCGTAGCATATAGTGCCGACCCACTACACTTTCACTTGGGTCAACTAGTACTGTGTTGTGAGTGGTGACTCCGCCAGGAGTTAGACGCGTGGCGCCATGGGCGCGTACTTTCGAAATGCCGTAATCTCTCCAACTGTTCTGGATGTCATCTCCGATTAGTTGAAAGTAATATGGCTACCCCAGTGTTACGACGCAGCGTTCAGCAGGCAACCATACAGAGCAATACTGCGGCAGGAGTAGCAATCACACCAGGCGAGACAGCAGGCAACAGTATGGGGGGCGTACTGCTTATTCATACTTCTCTCTGTCAGACGCACCCTCTGGGATATATCAAAGCTTGGGACACCTGGCCAGCTGGTCTGTCTCTTCTTCGAAGTATGGCTTTGGCGTGGAATGCCTGTACGATGACGATCCTTCCACGTTCTGGCAGTACGTCTACTTCCAACCCGCTTGTCTACTGGAGCTTTACAGAGGCAATCACACTGCAGGAGCGACGGGCCTCAACCTCATTTCATCACTTTGTACTTTCCAAGACAAGTGAAAGTGCAAGTAAGATACTTTACGCTACATGCAACGGCGCTCTCTAAATGCCTTACGATTGCCGAAGAAAATCTCCCTTCATCTGGATGCATTGCAAGACGAGTCGTACACACCAAACAAGCTCTGCGTGCGCGCAGGTACGACCGTGCATGATCTACAAGACGTGCGCATGGTCAGCTTCGAGAAACCAACGGGCTGGGTGACATTTGATGTTCTGATGGAAGCAGAGCAACCGGACGTTGCGTGTGTATGCGGAGTATTGTGAGAGCTATCTGCTAATGTCGACGTCGTAGACATGTGCTGGACTTGCACGTCCTTCAAATTGTCATTGTGGGCAATCACCTGAGTGGTAAGGACACACATGTGCGGGGTATGCTTGTGCTGGGTCCGCGAGCGTACGTGAATTCATCGCCCTCTGGAAGTTACCTGACTTCGCAGCAGAGCCAAAGAGGAGGAAGAACACTTGTTCCCTTTCACTTCAGCGGCGTTTAGGATGCACCAGACAATCCGATAGCACACCAATGGGGCAGTTTATGCAAAGTACTGGGTGTGTTTTGGAGCTGAAAAAAGGCAACCAGCGACTCAAAAAAAGCAACCAGAGCAGAGAATTGATAATCATCATTGTTCGGCACAGACTAGGATATACAGGTGCCATACACGCTACAATATTAGAACACGGCGTGGGAAAAGCAGGAGATGAAACCGATGAGTAGAGAATGTCCAGATCCGCGCCGTCAGCTGTCGGACGCAGCTCAGAGCTGGGTGGAGCATGAATCAGACGGTGAGAACCACGGTGCCGCGGAATGTTTATGCAATGCTTTATGCCCACGCTTCGTCTAGACACTTCCTCCACTTTGAGGTGCAGAGACAGGAACAGGAAGTGGCTGCACTTGAATGGGTGTTTGAGCAGTCTGTTGTGGTCCCGTAGCTGCCGAAGGAACTGGTGTAGGAGTATGCGAGGGTTGGATAGATTGGGCGGATGCAATGCTGGTCACGGGTGGCCTCGCAGCGGAAGGTGAGAGACGACCGTTAGTTGCCGGGGTAATTTGAACTGGTGCAGAGGTGGGGGAGGAGGCGTTTGCACCAGCAGGTGGAACCGCATACGGCTGCTTTGTCGGTTGATATGCCGCAGCGTACGCAGCATATCTTGGATCGGCTCCATACGCTTGATAATACTGCTGGTAGTACTGCTGCTGCTGTTCTTGAGACGCGAAGGTGTTGGGGGGACCGCGGGAGAAACCGTACGCGTAACCTGGTGAGCCGTACCCAGGACTATACGGAAACTGGAAAGTCTGCTGCGAATTTGGCGAATGCTGTTGATTTGGAGACGAGTGCGGAACGCTTGACTGTGCAGGGGGAGGGGCTTGAGCGGCGTGCGGTGTATGCGGAGAGTGGCTTCCGCTATTCGTTGTCGGGTATCCCATGGAAGGGGAGAACGTATTGTATCGGCCCGGATAACCAGGAGGATACTGCCCTACAGCGGGGTTGTAGCCGTTAAAGGGCTGTGGAGGTATCGGAGGAGAATGCGAGGCAGATGTACGATGGTCGACGGGAAGATGAGGCGGGCGAGCTGCAGGCTGAATGGCAGAGTGGTTCTGAGGAGTGCTTTGGCCTATGAGACCGGCATAACCATTAGTAGTTGGCACCTTGGGAGATGTCTGCGTGCGGGGAGCGGATGCTGGTCGTTTAGCATTGCCTTGCGACGGTTGGGTGACACCATTGACGGGTGGGACCTTCGGAGGTGCAACTGGCGTCTTGGGAATGGTCAAATGGACTTTCAGATCACCATTCGCGCGGGGCTGGCCAGCCGGAGCAGCAAGGGCGGCCTTCTCCTCCTCTGCCTTCTTCACCTCCTGTCTCTTAGCATACAGCTCGCGCCGGTGCTTATTCCTGCATTCTTTGCACTTGAAGGTGACTTGTGCCCAGCGCCGTTTCTGCTTGCCAGCCTTGAGGTCCGCCGCATCGTGACATGCGGTACTAGGCCAACGTTAGTACGAACCACACCAAGGGTAACCAGAGAGTAACGCACTGCTGCCATTTACCGCACGTCTCGCAGCAGGCCATCTTCTTCCCATCATCGACATTCCATCCTTTCTTCCCGCAGATTTCACAATCAAGCTCCCACTTCTCCTCCGCTTTCGGAACTCTTGGCTTCTGGCCCTCCTTCGCCTCTTCGGCAGCAGAACTGGTCTCCTCCACATCGAGCTTGGCCTCGTCTCCACTGGCCTGGTTAGGTGTGGCATCCTCAGGCGGCTGCCACATGTCCCGCTTGAGTGCTCTCTGTTCCCTCTCCAGCATCTTCTTCTCCTTCTCCAACCTCTCCGCTTCCTGCCTCTTCTCCCGCTCTTCAGCACGTTTATTGCGCGCGTTGGCAAACTCGTCCTCGGCACGCTTCTGTTCTTCCAACCGACGTGTTTCTGCTTCGAGCTCTTTCATTTGCAGCCGGCTGCTTCGCTTCCGAGTAGCCATAAGCTCCTCCTTTCGTTTGAGTCGCTCGATTTCCCGCAGTTCCTTCAGGACACGAGGGACGACTTCCTCAACAAGCGAAGCATGGAAAGCCTTCTCGTCCCTATTTGTGGATTTTTCGAATCGTTCGGCGACATGCTCCCATTGGAAAAGGGTGACGGCGATGGTTTCCCACTCGACAAAGTCGGCGGGGACGACAACGCCATTAATAGTCCGAGGTGGTGGAGGCGGCGTAACGGGAAGGGAAGAGAGAGAAGATGAGGCGGCGGACATATTCGCCTGCTCATGCTGAGGCTCGTCCTTGACATTCTGGTTCTCGTTACACACATCGTTCATCTCGACGTCTCCATCTTTTTCTCGCTTCTCTTGCTTGCCCTGGTCCTGGTCCTCCTCATCCGAAAGATCTGTCAAATCCGAGTCTGTGTCTTCTTCCGGGCCATCCTCTTCCAGAGGTCGCTTCCGCCCTGTCCCATTTCCATTAACCACCTCTTTCTCAAGGTGCACCGAGTCCACAGACGTGTCGCTCTCCTTGAGCCACTCTTCCGGGATCTCCTGCCACACCTCGTCTTCCACCTTGCCTCTCAACCGCGAGCTTTGGCGTATACCCATAGCTCGGGGCCGAAGGGGGCTCTTAGATGGACTAGGAGGGGGAGGTTTAACTGCAGAAGCACGCTTCGGATATCGACCACTAGGCTGCGGTGTCTCCGCTTGCTTGCCTCTCGGTGCAGCGGGGGCAGGGGTAGAACTCTTCGCGGGGGTCTTTGCTTTGCTGGTGGAGGCGCTGAGCTTCTGCTTCTTCGCCGGTGGTTGGGCGGGTTTCTCCTTCTTCTTGTGTGAGACTTTTGGTTTGGGAGGGGTACGTTGGATCCAGAGACGGTTGTCGTCGAATAGCCAGTACGCGTTCTTCTTGGCGTCATATCCTATGGGCTCAACGCGCTGCGTCCCCATTGCCAGTCAGAGGTGTTCCTGCGTTCAAAGAATAAAAAAAATGTACCCAGAGGTAAGCACTCTCCTCATCCTTCATCTTCTTCCTGATGTTGTGTGGGTTGATGAACAACCAATCCGTCACGGAATGAACCGCTTCTATTCGTTGCCCAGGAGTGAGCTCGCTCCACTCCACAGGCTCTTCTTCTGTACCAAGCAGGAGAATTTCGGGCTCGCGTCGTTCATACTGGTGTCGTAGAAACCGTTCCCAATCATCTTCTCTGTTGGCGAGGTTAGCGTCTTGGATCATATACGGGGATTGGACAGGGGTTACACACGTTATGCGTCTGTCGTAAGTAAGGATGGTGAGGAGCTTGTGCATCATCTTGTTGATGATCTTATGCGTCCCCAAGGTGAGGTCATCTTCGAAGTCCTACTTAAGGATCAGTATTCCTGCACTCGCCACACTCGTCGCCACATACCTCAGTCTCGAATTCCCCCAGCTGTAGCGCCTCCTCGAAAGTGAAGATAAATTGACACACCCCGGCGAACTTCCAGTCTTTGCGGAGCTGCAGAACGGCCTGACTCGGAAGAGGCACTGGGTCAAAGAGGAGCGGCGCCGGCGTATGGTGCCCATGGGCATGCTCGGCTGGTGGTAGGGGAGGGGGAGGATGGGCGCGCAAGGTTGGCATGCCGTGCGCGTATGAGATAAAAGAGACGGGGCGCGTAGCACGTTTCGATCGACCAGGGTAGTTGGAACTAGGGTAGGGTAGGACGATCCTGATTGGGTTTGGATGGCACGAGATGGGTGGATTGTGATGCGCGCTGTTGACCGCCGCGGTGGACGTCGGTCAATCACTCTTTCTCTATGAGTTCAGGGCGACGAGTGAAAAGTTTTCAGAACAAATAAAAGCAGATACTTGATTGAATAGAGGGCGTGTTGGTGTATAGATGGTTGTGCTCGGCGTGTGAGCGTGTTGCCGACGACGGACGATTGACCAGGGGCGCGCAAGAGGGGAAGTAAGCTCGTGCCTAAGTGGCTGATCAATAGTCAAAACAGGGCCACACAGATTCCGCGCTGACAGCATTACACTTTTGACTCCGAGAATTGATCCCGTGAGCATTGACCATCATCATCGATCGTTGGTAGCATATGCTTCGCACCTTGCCGTATATAGTCAAACCTGCATTTACCGGTGCAGACTCATCATCCGTAGACCTGGACTGGTTGTTGGTAGGCAACATCGAGAATGTGAGCATTTTTCTCATTCAGCATATACATGGTTCCAGACTAGTTCAGGAATACCTGATGCATCTCAGGCAGCATCCAAGGTACAGTTACGGATGTCGGATGGAGAAAGATAACGAGATTTCAGAAACGGCGAACAGTACTTTTCCCTCTCTCTGTCTCGCGGATATACAGCTGGGAAGCAGACGGATCGAACCTTATGTCCTTCAGAATACCACACCGTCATCTGGCAAGTAGACAGAACCGGATGCACTACAAAGAAAAGAGGGCGTCGCGGAATATTGAGAGGACCCTGAGACGCGCCTGAGGAAGATGCTATCAACGAGAGTCACCCGGAAATAGACCCGCAGCAGTCGCCCGAAATCCGTAATCTCCCTCCCTACTTCCTTCTCCCGGCCACATCTTCTATGATTATGCAGTGTATATAAATCAGGAAAACGTCGGTCATTTCTGTTTGATTATTGAGCCGTTGATCTGTACTTTCCCGCACCGTGTGGCCGCGTATTATCACACTGCCGACCGCTGTACACGCCGAGCGACTATATATACCCTCCCACAACGTCTTGACGAACTGGACTAGCTGGATTCATCCTTAGGCAGGCATGGTTGTCAACGGTCACATCTCCATGGACGAGGTTCCCCTCTCTGTCCTTGACACCGATTTGTACAAGGTGTGTCTTCTGGCTTTCAAGCCTTGATGTCCAGCGGCTGACTCACTCGTGCAGCTTACAATGCAGCAGGCGATCTTACAGCACTTCCCCGAAGCCGAAGTGACCTACCAGTTTACCAATCGATCAAAGGATATGCGCTTTACTCGCGAATATGTCGATATGGCATGGGCTCATATCCTTCGTACGCCGCGTCCTTGCTCTGTCACAATCGCGTACTGATCGTCTTTCAAGGCCTCGAGAACATGCATCTCACTCCTGCTGAGCATGCCTGGTTATCTGAAGCATGTCCTTACTTTACGCCGTCTTATCTCTCCACCCTCTTAGCACTCCGGCTCGATCCTTCGTCCCAAGTAACGCTCACCTACGTCCCTTCCGACGACGACCCAAACTACGGGCAAATCGAGCTAGAAATCAGGGGTCTGTGGTGGCAGACGATCCTATACGAGGTGCCGATCATGGCGGTGATCAGTGATGCGTACTTCAGAGTGGTGGACCAGGATTGGAGCTATGCTGGACAAGAGGGTACGTCCAAGTTGCATGCGTCCAAGAACTGCGCTGACAAAGCCACACACGTAGACAAAGCCTATGAGAAGGGAAAGACCCTCTTGTCACATGGAATTGCCTTCTCCGAATTTGGCACTCGCAGGCGTCGCTCCTACCCAGCGCAGAAGACGATCATGCACGGCCTCATTCGCGCCAGAGATGAGCTGGAGGGCAAGCCGGGTATGGGAAGCCTGAGCGGGACGAGCAACGTTCACTTTGCGATGATGTTTGGTCTTACACCCGTGGGAACTATTGCGCAGTAAGCACCGCCTTCTCTGTCGTGAGCGACGCTGACACTATTTGTGCAGTGAATGGACCATGGGTGTATGCGTGTTTTTCTTGCAACTGCAATGCCACTACTCACTTACCAGCAGATCGCGTCTCTACTCGGCTACGAGCACGCCAATGCCCATGCGCTGGACCTCTGGGAAGACACCTACCCGACCAGCCCGTCCAACGCCCTTCACATTGGATTGACGGACACCTTCTCCTCCGAGGTCTTCTTCCGCGATTTCCTCGCCGATCCTGCGCGGGCCCGTCGCTGGAGAGGGCTGAGACAGGATTCCGGTAGCCCAGAGGAATATACGAAAAGGGCGAAGCAGGTCTATGACCAGATGGGCGTCGACAGCCGGACGAAGAACATCATCTATTCCGATGGGCTGGACGTGCCTAGGTGCTTGGTACTGCAGAAGGTTGCCCAGGACATTGGGTTTATTCGTGTGTCTTTCTTCTATCCCGATTGAGGAGCCAGAGTCTGATGTGTCCATGCAGCAGCCTTCGGGATAGGTACCAGTCTGACGAACGACTTTGTTCGGCTAAGCGATGGGAAGAAGAGTCGGCCGCTCAACATGGTCATTAAGCTGCACTCGATCAACGGCGTTCCCTGTGTGAAGATCAGCGACGAGATCACGAAGGTGAATATTACCCGATGTCATGTTGTGACAGAGGCTGATTGACATGTAGAATACGGGGGATGCCCAAGCGGTCAAGGATGTCAAGGAACTACTTGGTTTGCCCGTTAATGGCAAGCCAAATGGCAAACAATAGAGTTACATTATTTTGGACGGCTGTTGTGCATGCACTTCGTTATTGTTCATGGCGTGCCTGGATGGTCTACTTATACTTGTAAGAACAGACTAGTTGTATAGAATGAAGAACAAAGCGACGCTTTTTCAATTGTCTTCTATCAAAGCAAGTAATTGAAATAAAAGAACACGGTCAATCTCACAGTAGGAGAGCCACTTCGCCCAAATAACCGCATGAGACGCTGCAAATTGGTCATACGTCAGTCATCTCATTTTGGCATCGCGGGCTTCCTCTGGTCTTCGCTTCTAGGTCAGGTTCCCATGCTCCCTTTGTTCGGCAGCACTTGCCGTCTCTTCCCTCACTCAGTTGTGAGTGAGTTATTGCCTCCTCTTTGGCGTTGTGGTTCGAAATACAGCCGCCGTCCTCCAGCGGCTTATTACCCGACACCAACCGCTGCTACCAGGGGGAGAGCCGTGCTCATCCAAACGTTCGTTACCGCTGTCACGTCGTCGATCGTGACCGAGGACTCGACCTCGAGAGTATTTGTCTTTTCGGTGACAGCCTTGACAAAGATCTCAACGCTGCTCACGGACTGAACCGTCAAAGATGGAAGCGGGCGACCCTTATGTGACTCCACCACGGAATGGTGCATCTATGTGGGGATGAAGAGAGATAGGAAACCAGACGGTTTTCAGTTTAACCTGGGCGGATGCACGCTGTCTCACACATAGGTAGCCGAAAGAGAAGCGACGCACCTACGTGCGTAGGTTCTTTTTCGGCTCCGACTTTGTGACTGCTTGACAAGCCGGCCAGAGAGGCCCAATCGCCGAGATTTTAGCCAGGAGGGCGGTGGCGGGGATTGACGTACTCATGGTCCCCGCATCGACGCGATGGCGAGTCTGCTGCTGCTGAAAGCCTTTCAGCAGCGGACCCGCAATCCAAGAGGAACGGGAGGGATGGTGGCCACGACGAGATCCACAAGCAGTGCCACAACCCCTCCAACGCTCCCTTGTAGGCTAACTCTCTCTACATAATGCAGACTCGACAATACAATGCACTCGAATCCCAGGTGTCCAGGACGGACCATGGAATATCACTACAACCTCTCAATGCCGACAGGCGCAACTCCGCACTGCGGCGTCGTCACTGCGCTGGCATTGCCGGTGACAAGTCAGGACGACAATGTCAACCGGGAGGCGGCTATGTATGTTGCCTGTGAGCGACACGCCCATACATAGGGCGCTGCACATGAATCAGGAACATGGCCGAGTGTCGAGCGAGGTAGATGACCAGAACGGCCAACTAGAAGAAGACAGAGGGAGGGAGAGAAAGGACGCGGGGGACGCCGTGATAGCCGGGATGCGGGTTTATATATGCGCATATGGCTAGCCTCGGTCGGGGCCCCACACGGGGTAGGGGCGGTTGGATCGAGAGTTTGTCTGAGCCCTGACTTCGACACTCACATCCCCACCAACAACACGTGGAATGGATATGCACCCCCGAAGCTTGAGGGCTCCGGGAAAGTATTGGGGTGCGATGCTCAACAGAACGACGATATTGAGCACACTGATCGTAAGCTACTCTAAGATTGTTCTAGCATATACTCAGATCTCTTTCCCTGTTCAGCCTACCACCATGTCTCAAACAGCGTGTCAACCCACAAAGCAGCGTAACGCGACGCAATGACAAGGAACAAAAGGGGAGGAAGTTCAAGAATGGTCTCAATCCGATTTCCAGGTTTAAGTTGCTTGTCGGGCTAAAAAAGCACGTATACATGTGGAAATCGGCGCATACATCTTGTAAACACTGTTATTCATTGGTCGATAGAGTGATGGCGACAAGATGGTACATAGTATGGAATTACACGGGATCAAAGAACGTTGAAATTCGGGGGACGCAGAATTCCTGCGCTCAGTTGCCGCCACGGAGACGGAGCACCAGGTGAAGCGTCGACTCCTTCTGGATATTGTAGTCAGAAAGAGTGCGACCGTCCTCGAGCTGCTTGCCAGCAAAGATCAGCCGTTGCTGGTCGGGAGGGATGCCTTCCTTGTCCTGGATTTTTGCCTTGACGTTGTCGATGGTGTCCGATGACTCGACCTCGAGGGTGATGGTCTTGCCTGTCAGAGTCTTGACAAAGATCTGCATGCCACCCCGGAGACGAAGCACTAAGTGAAGGGTGGATTCCTTCTGAATGTTGTAGTCCGAAAGAGTGCGACCGTCCTCAAGCTGCTTGCCGGCGAAGATCAGCCTCTGCTGGTCAGGAGGGATACTGTATACATATCAGCATTCCGCGCTTGTCATGTGTTGTGTAACTGGACTCGCCCCTCCTTATCCTGAATCTTCGCCTTGACATTATCAATCGTGTCGGAGGACTCCACCTCGAGGGTGATGGTCTTCCCCGTGAGGGTCTTGACGAAGATCTGCATTCCACCACGGAGACGAAGCACCAGGTGAAGGGTGGATTCCTTCTGGATATTGTAATCCGACAGGGTACGGCCGTCCTCAAGCTGCTTGCCAGCGAAGATCAGCCTCTGCTGGTCAGGAGGGATGCCCTCCTTGTCCTGGATCTTGGCTTTGACGTTGTCGATCGTGTCCGAGGACTCGACCTCGAGTGTGATGGTCTTGCCAGTGAGAGTCTTGACGAAGATCTGCATGCTGTTGAGAGGGCGATAAGCACAAGTTCAAGCAGCTGAGAGGATAGGGGTAGAAGATAAGCGCTCTTATTGGGTATAAATGCAGGTTCGGTGTAAACCCTAGTAGCACCTAAGAAGTGATAGACTCACGCGGCAAGTATATGAAGAGCGTTTGTAAACTTGGTTGTACGAGCGGTAGGCAGGAGAATGAGAGTGGATTGCACTGCGCCGAACGATCCCTCGTCGAGTTATATACGGTGTCTGCTTCCGGAAGCGAATAGCCGGACCGATCTCAATTCACCGTGATGGACGGGGGAATCATCCGCATTTGGAAACCGCGATAACTGCTTTTTTGTGGGCATGACTGGCTGTGAATATATATGATTATATCCTGGTGGATGGTATAATATTAATGGATGCACGTTGGCGCTGTGTCATAGAGACCGGATATGTTCTCGTAAGCGCCCAACACAGACAACATCATTCATCTTCTGTCAGAACGACCTGCCGCCTCACCACGCTATCACCCTTCCCTCCTTTGTCTCCCGCAGGCTCCGTCTTCCGCCGTTTTGATGCACAAATCATATCCCGCTTCTTGTTCGCCAGGTTCCTCCCCACTCCAGCCCCAGCGGCCCGCGCAATGTCCTTCCGCTCGATAGGATGACGCTTCAGTTCCCGTTTCTTCAGCTTGGACGGCTTGGGCAGATCGAGCATGTATTGGGGTACATCCTGACCAGATGCTTTCAGTACATTCGCTACTCTGTGCAGGTGTTAGTCAATGATCGGCTAGCATTCGGCAGAGAGCACGGACGATTTGACATACGGCGCGTCCTCCTTGGTAAAGTAGGTCACCGCCTTGCCTTGCCTGCCCGCTCGTCCCGTCCGGCCAATCCTATGGATATAGCTTTGAACCGTTTGTGGGAAGTCATAGTTGACAACCAAATTGACCCCTTTGAAGTCCATCCCCCTTGCCATCAGCTCGGTTGCGATCAGCACCCAGACCTCGCCCTTCCGGAACCGGCGTACTGCGTCCTCCCTTTGGGCTTTAGTCCGCTCGGAATGGACAACATCGACATTCAGTCCGTCGTATAGCAGCTCATGGAACAACTCTTGCGCACGTTCAATAGATTGTACGAAGATAAGCACGGGCGGCTGGATGCCCTCCACGACAAGGTTTCGCAGTGCTTGCAGTTTCCCGATCTCTGATCCGCAGAACAGCAGCTCCTGATGGATCGTGTCTGTCGCTGAGTCTTTCACTCCCACGATCACGCGGATCGGACGGCGCAGGAATGTGTTCGCAATCGCTTCGACCGCAGCGGGTAGTGTCGCGCTGAAGACAGCTTTCTGTATCTCGGGGTAGGAACAGGCGGCAAGGATGGCTTCAATCTGTTTCAGGAAGCCTTCCTCCAATAGGCGGTCTGCTTCGTCCAGAATGAGATGTCGGATATTGTCCAGGTTGAGAATGCCCTCGTCCAATGCGGAGACCAAAGAAAGTGGGGTAGTGATGAGAAGATCTGAGCGCCGTAAGATGCTGGAATTTCATTTTCATTCACGTCATGCTCACCAACTTTCTTCCTTGCTGCCTTGTCCCGCAGTGCGTTCCCAGTGGCCTTGTTCAGCACGACGACCTTCCACTTTCTCCCTTTTGCCAGCTTTAACGCCTCATTATGGATCTGCATTGCCAGTTCTCTAGTGGGACTGACGATCAGCGCTCGTGCGCCCGCCTGCTTTTCACTTGCACCTGAACGCCCGGGGGCACCGAGCAGACAGAATACAGGGAGCAGGTAGGCAAGTGTTTTCCCGCTTCCCGTAGGGGCAATCGCGGCTAGATCACGTTTTTCGAGAAGAACGGGGATGCACTGGGTCTGCACGTCGGTCGGAGTTAGATATCCCTTTTCGGCAATATTCTTCCGAAGTTCGGGCGCAAGGCCGTAACGGTCTTGCAAGGATACGAAGGAGTGGATCGGTGTGGGGACGGACTCGCCCGTGCAGCGGACGCGGCGTGCACTGGTAATAGTGCGCTCTGGAGCAATAGTCAGATTATACGCAATAGGATCAATCAAGACTAGACTCGCCAGGTTCCAAGCTCCGTTTTCTCTTAGTCCCCCTCTTTGCGCTGCCCTCCCATCCACTGCCCTGCGATTGCCTCTCAACTCCGACAGTTCGCTCGCTGTCAGCGGCCCTGCTCTTTCCATTTGCAGCCCCTTCCCCCTTTGTACCCAGCACACCACTCTCAGCGTACTTGAAAAAGTCCAGCTCTTCGGGAAACTCGTCTGTTGTGTGTGATGTAGACGCTACCGTCTCAGCATGTTTCTTGTGTCCCTTAGGTTGAGTTGAGTGCGTGCTAGCTAGTGCATGAAACAATACGAGTGTATACTCACACTGAACAGATTGACCTCTTTGTTGAAGCGCCTTTTGTCGAATTGCGTACCGCCTCGGGAGAGGAGGGCGAATGCATCCATTGAGATAACCGCGAGAGGGAGACTGGTGCGTAAGGGAGCACAAAACAAAAAATCAGCAGGGATCCGAACCCTGTGGTTTTCTCCCTCACGTCCACCTGGCCACACTAGTAAGTACCAAATGTCACTACATGTCCTCCCCTTTCCCTTTGCATTCAATGATTATACCATCATACATGTTAGACTACTGACAGCATACGCTGGACGTGGAAATTTTCATCACCACCCGCTGAGAATTGCATTTTGCTTATCTTCCAGTGCATTTTCGAGCAGGAAACTGACAAGTTGCCCAGATGCCGACCTCGGTGCAAGGGAATCCAAGGTATGTATCTTGCAATGCAGGGTATATTGTAACAATATCAAATATCCAAGATGTGCAATATCAGCAATGTTATCGCTTCACCTTCTTTGCCTTCCCGCCCTTGCTCTTATCTAGTTCAGCAGCTGCGTGCCCCGACTCCCGTACATGGGTGAACAGCCTCGTGCGACTATCAAATTCCTCCCCACACACATTGCATTTCTCGTGAGAAATGTAAGCATGGCGTAGGGGAACCATTCAAAGGACTGACCTGTGCACTTGAGCCGGCCGTATCAGCTTTATGTTTCTTTGCCGCCTCCCTCGCCCGTCGTCTATCCTTCTTCGACATTTCCACCTTAGAAGAAATTGATATTTGGCTGTCCACTGCCTCATGCGTTGTGGCTTCATTGTCGTTCAGAGCTGTACCAGCGTTGGAATTGTCGTCTTGAATCGATGCCGTCTCACTACCTTCGGCCTCGTCGAGCCAATCGCCCAAACGAGATTTCTTTGTCTTCTTGACCCTTTTATTTGGTGTCGGCGCAACTTCTTCCTTTTCCCCTTCCCGTTTCTCCTTCACTTCATACCCTCCCTCGGCTGGTAATTCTCGCTTGGACGGTTGATCTCGAAGCGTGAGCTCATCGACTTTCGATGCCACCCCCCCAATATCCACGTGTACAGCCTTGACTCCCCCACCCGGCATCGTCTCAACGTTCTCCCCACCATAATCCGGCCAGTCATCTTTGGAAGTCTCTTCAGTGTCCAATCCATCTACATCGAAACCGAGCTCTTCCTGCTCCCTCATCAACTCTTTCCTTAGCTTCTCGACATTCTCCAGGTGCTTCCTACTCCGCTCATGGCTTTCCCACGCCTTTTCACTCCTAAAGTTCTTCCCACACGCAACACACTCCCAGCCTTCCTCTTCCTCCTCCCAATCCTCGGCTTCGAGGACCTGCTCAGGTTGGACTTCCTGCCATGCTTGAGGAATGTAATCTCGGAGCGCATCGGCACGTTTGGCCGCGGCGTCGGCTGTTGCGGCATTGGAGGGTGTCGTAGCCGCTATGACTTGAGATGCGAGATAAGCTTTGTATCTCGGATCGCGCTTTCGCAGGAAGAGCGCCAAAGACTGGCACTTCATTAGGACGAGAGTTTGGAGCCAGGGCCGCCAGAACGTACCCGGACAGCGTCGTTGTAATCCTTCCTTGCATCATCCCTGAGTTTCTTATTTTCCTTCTCCATCGCTCTCCTATACCTCCGGTCGGGCGCTTCCCTCGTATCATAATGCTCAACCCACGAAAAAGACTTCTCGGTGCCGAAGTTCGTCCAGACGGCATAGAAGGCGCGCACAGTGTCTTCGTCGGACTTCGCGTTCCAAGGGGTGGTGGAGTTGCCAAAGAGGGGATATTCGAGCGGCGCCAAGGATTGGGAGTGCGTCTCTTCTTCTTCGGCGAGTCGGATAAAGAGGTTTCGATAGATAGTAAAGAATCCCTGTCACGATATCAGAGGGAAAGGCAAAGGAGATACCGACATTGCATACATCGGGTCTATCGTCAAATCCTTTGTAGAGGGTAGAATCGAAAAATTTCATTATGTGCCGCGTAGTCAGACCGGGCGCATTGGCCCGCGCCTTCTTTGATGTGCCCCGCTTGATGTCGTCGAATACCTCGTCAGCGTCAGGTTCTGGTGCTAAGTTAGCCCTGTGGTTGTCGTACCAAGTTCGTTCCTTTACAACTATAAGCAATGTGATGTACTGTTTCAAAACGCTCGACGTACTTGTTCGTCGCTGAGCACCTCGTAGGCTTGTTGGAGCACCGCGAAACGTTGCGTCGCTCCTTCAATATCATTGGGGTTCTTGTCAGGATGATGGGTCAGGGCAAGTCTGCGGAATGCTCTCTGATGATCCTATTAAGATGTTGGAAAGTTTCGAGTCAGGGAAGGACGCGCCCTGATTTCATCAGACGTGGCAGTCTCCTCCACGCCAAGTAGGGTGTAATAATCTGGATTTTCATCGTTAGGAGCTCGGGCGTCGTGGTTGGAACGAGATTCTTGATTTCCCATCAGGTCACCAAGCTGAGATCAAGGAAGTTATCGCCGCAGTAGTCTGTGCAACCAAGGAGCGAACTGTGGTCGATTTGCCTGGAAAGTGAAGCTAACATCTCTCATCGTGACTCTTGCGTAATTGCATCGGATGTGGCTCTGCACAAGGGCGCTTCTCAGGAGTAGCGCGCGACGCGCCCAGAAATCAGCGTGACTGCTTTCCCCTTCTGCTTTGTCCAGTCGCGGTCTTCCTCTTCCCCCTTTATCCTCTGCCTTCATTTCGGTCTGGTTCAAGCTGATATGCGCCGTGGTCACGGTTCTACTAAAGTGCCAAATGTCAAACTTCGACCCCCACCACCAAAGGAGAAAGCAAAGAGGCGGATCATCGAAGAAGGTGCGAGATGGGTACCGCGTCACAGCGATTATGGTCGATGGACTGCTAAGACTAGAAATTATTAATTCAGATGTCAATCCTGTAGATCTCGATGACGTGCCTGCGCGCCCGTCTTTCCGAAGAGACTATTCTAGAGTCGATAAACCTTTCGCCAATGTGATACTGTGTTCGACTGGTATCAAAGACAAGGTGTGTTCTACGCGTGCACCTCTAAAATCTGTTCTAATGCTAATGCTCACAGGTCTCCTTGTTTCAAAGAGCGAGCGAACTCGGGGCTGTATGCCAGCACGATCTCACCAGCGATATTACTCATTTGGTGGCCACTGAGACAGGGGGCGCCAAGTATAATGCAAGCATCATATTTACACTTCCTTTTCCTAAACTTATGGTTCGCTTCTAGTGTGCAATTGAGAATGGTATGGCTGTCATGACCCCCGATTGGGTGGACGAAACATATGCCCTTTGGTTGGAGGGCAAGGATATCGACGTGGAAGAGGTGTGTACGGACAACGTCTTGCACTGCGACACTGACCCTGCTCCCAGTCCATGCGAAAGCACACGCTGCCATTCCTTTCTGGTCTCACTATATGCCTTACTGGAGGTGATATAAACTGTGAGTTTCAACATTGAACAACTTTTCTCGTCCTGAACCTTTCACGCTAGCTCAGCAACGAGACGCTATCAGCAGGCAAATCAGCTCCCATGGCGGTGTCTACTCCTCGAGCTTAACGAAACAATGCACGCATCTGCTCGTCAGTGCAGCCTCCTATGAAGCTGTTGCAAGCACAGAAAAGGTCAGGTTTGCGCTGCGCGCTAACAAAGAGAATAAAGCACACATTCATGTCCTTTGGTTGGAGTGGTTTTGGGACTGCTTGACTGTATCTGGTACGTAGCATCGCCATCCTTCCATCACCTTGCTCACCTCTACATGGCAGGCAAACTCGAGGAAATCACATATACCATTGAGACCGGTAAACCAAAGCCCAAAGCACCTACTCTGAATCAACGTAAGCCACTGCGCCTTCTAAACCATCTCGAGCTGAGAGTGTGCCATGCAGGCCTCATACACCCCTCCGATGTCTCCGCCTCCTTTCCTACCCCCCCTGCTCCTCCTGGAGTTGCCGTTGATCTGTCCAAAGACGCTCCAGAACCAGGCATGGCACCGTCAATGAGTCGGGTACAACGAAACGAGCAGCAGACGGCACTATGGCACCAGCTTCAAATTGCGAACTTGCCAGGAATTCTATCTCAGTCACAAAGGAGGCCAAAAATTGATATTTCCATACCTTCCGAAGATGAGGCTATGAAAGATTATTCGATGCCAACCAGCACGGGCGCCACGCCTGCCATCAAGCTAGCTTCCCCAGTCGACAGGGAATCTCAATCTGTCCTACGGCAGTTAGCTATTTCCAAGGCTTCGTCCTTTAACCAATTGTTCGACACCACTAAGACTGCGCCGTTCAACCAGCCAGACTCACAAGCTGGTCCCTCGATGCCGAAAGAGAGGCGAAGGAACGGCATATTCGAAGGAATGACTTTTTGTCTCGTCGGGGACGCGAGGACGGTCATCCTACAGGGAGCCATCGAATCTAGTGGGGGAACCGTTCATGGAGATGGTCATGCTTCCGAGAAGGCTAGCCAGCCGACTTGGTATATTGTTCGCTTGAACACGTGCGTCTATTACCTTAACAATGGTCCCCGCTCCTGATAAACCCTAATAGAGGATCTCGTCACGTGCAAGAAATCGCAGCAAGTGGACACCAATATGTGACAGAATGTTGGGTTGAAGAGTGCCTGCACCAGGAACGAGTGTGCGATCCCGGCGAACACGTTACTTTTCGGCCCATCTTGGTACCCACTCCAATCGTAGGAATGCACCAAATGCGTCTACATATTTCTGGACTTGAAGAAAGCAACGCGTTGTATGCTCAGCGCCTAGCCCGGACGCTAGGAGCTTCTGTGGCAGTCGTGTTTTCGAAGAAGAGTACGACACATCTACTCTGTCCGACTCCGGCCGGTGTTAAATATGAACACGCTGTCCGCTGGGGTATGCCAACGTTGAGATTAGAGTGGCTCTACGAGATCGCACGTACGGGAACTGTGCCTGACGCCGGGGGTTACCACCTTTCTGTGTGTCCATCCGCTTCCACTATGATGGATGCTACCATTCAGAGTACACATGCTCAGCTCATTGGCCGCCCTTGTCTGACTTCTTGTAGCCCCCTCCCCCTTTGCCTCTCAGCTCATTCAGCGAGCCGTACCTTCTCCACCCCAGGAAAACATCCAGCCTTCAAGCCGCCTATCCCCGCACCCTCGGGAAGCGCCAGTCAGTGTGTTTTTCCGAACTGCATACGTTGCCTGAGAAATCTTCCAACAGGCGCCACCTGGCCCCTCTCCAGATGAAACGCGCCTTGAAAATTCAGCCACGGAAACCCTTAGCCGTTTAAGCAACATCTTCGGGGCAAAGCGCAAGTCTGCTGAACCGGATGTGGAAGATAAGATGCCGTCTTCTAAGAAACGGACTAGACCGGTGACCCGGGTGAAGGCAAGTGATCCGCGCATTTTCTGAACATAGTGAATTGATAGATAGGGCTAGAGTGGTGACACTTCAATCCCGTCCACTGCGACAGGAAAATCAACCTTTGCCCCGCAATCCTTCAACTTTGGAGAACCGATCCGAGAAGGGGGGGAGGAGGTTGACGCCCCAACGCATACACTTTCTGGTCCGTTAGGAGAGAGCATGCGCGTGACCTATGAAGATCCAGAATCGCGAGCGGAGAAGAGAAAGTTGATGAAGCTGATCGGAGTCCTGCCAGAAAGCATTGATCCCACAATCGACTTGGAATCCCCAGCAAGCGGAACAAGTCAACCTCGACCACGACCGCGGACTAGAAAGAGCACACGGCAGTCTTGAATGTGATATATAGTCCTTGACGTACTTCATGAGTCTATCCTACACAAATATCATTGTATTTTTGGTTTCGACGGCCCACGTTGCACAAGTAGGCCATTGATGTATATATAAGTTAATGATCCCTTAGACTCGATGGTGGCGCGTGCCTTTTTGCGCGCGCCCACAAACACAGGACACAGCGTTCGTCCTTCCCTCCCGACGACAAGAATGACCCACCTTCTTCCTCCCAATCTTCTCAAGCTATTTGCACCAAGACCCCCGCTGCCATATTTGCGTGCGGTTGGAAGGGATCCAAATAAGCCCAAACTGAAAAATGTCGGCGGTGTTGCTACCCTACTAGCCCAAATCAAGGAGCAAACGATCGTCGACACCGAAAAGGATGATGGACGCGAGGAGGGAGAAGAAGAACAATTCACCTATACTGAGGAGGTGAAAAGAAGTATACGTCGAGAGGAAAGAAAGAAAATGATGGAGGAGAACATGACGAAAGCAAAGGATAATTGTAAGAGTTTGCAGCGTACGGTATAAGCGCCAGCACTGATCCTCACTTCTAGACAAACCTTCAGAAGATCCCCACGCCCAAGGCGATCCATACAAAACCTTATTTATCTCTCGACTTGTGCGATACATTCCTTACTGAACTGTAATTAGCTAACCAACCTTTACAGTCGAAGAAAGTTACGGAAAAGGACCTTCAAAAAGAGTTTGAGCGTTACGGGGATATCGAACAAATACGTTTAGTACGGGATCCACAGGCCAGGAGTCGAGGCTATGCTTTCGTTGTATATGAGCGAGAAAGAGACATGAAAGGTCTGTCCCATCCTATATGTTACCACGACTGCGGTGACTCACCTATTGGCATAGCGGCATACAAGGACGCAGAAGGTCTTGTCCTTCTTGGCAAGCGTATTCTGGTCGATGTAGAACGCGGACGGACAGTGCGTGGCTGGCGACCTCGCCGTCTTGGCGGTGGTCTAGGTGGTCGACCGAAGCCGGTCATTGCTGATGCAGGCCCTGCACGAGGACCTCCAGGAGGCTTCCGCGGCGGTTTCAGTGACCGAGGAAGTTTCCGCGGTGGTAGAGGTGGATTCGGGGACAGAGGGGGTTTCCGCGGTGGCAGGGGAGGGGGATTCGGCGCAGCACCTGCTGGTGGTTATACCGGCCAATCCGGCGGGTTTGGCCCTGCTGGTGGATTTAATGGCAGCAGCGGTGGCGGTGGATATGGCGGCAGTGGGAGAGGCGGATTTGGTGGTCAAGGGGGCGGTAGTTTTGGAGGCGGCGACCGCGGTGGTTTTGGCGACCGGGGTGGATTCCGAGGTGGCTTCAGGTGAGTTACAAACAGGTATTTTTTTCTCTTGCTATTCCCGTACACGCGACGAAACGTCATCTTCGAGCGTCGATCAGTGCGTCGTCTGCTGTTCGGAATTTTGCCATCAAATTTCTCCTGGCGATGTGGTTATGCTGATGCGACCCTGAGCTGGTTGCAGCCGCAACGATGAACTCATGCCCCCGACTATGCCGCAGTGATCGACTCTTCAAGTTGTTCATTTGCGGCCACGGTTTTCACATACGATATGGTCGCATATGTCAAGTTTCATTCTTTTTTTTTCTCATTTCTCTGAGGTGTAACACGTGAACTGACAGTATTCTGCGTGGACATCAGGGGAGGCCGTGGAGGAGGTATTGGATACCAAGGTGGCTTCCAGGGTGGCTCCGTCGGTGGTGGTGGAGGAGGATACGGTGGTGGACCAGGGGTCGGTGGATTCGGTGGTGGCAATGGGTATGGAAATGGCCCTCATGGCGGTTTCAAGCGAGAGTATGACGGTGGTGATGACTCGGTGGACGCAAAGCGTCGAAGATATGATTAGGTATGGGCTGTGTGAGCTCTCACTGTTGCCAATAGCGTTCTCTCTTGTTGTCTTTTCTTTGCGTTGGCACTTGCTGGGACTGCTTCCAAGGTAGTGTATATTTGAGGTAGGTATCCCGATTGGGAATGGTTTCCATTTCCACATTTGAGTTGCTCCTGGGCAGATGTAAATGCTGCCTCTCGTCATACTGTACGCGACAATCACATGGAACAGCAGCTATGCCGACGCTGGCTTTTTTTCATGGACACTCAAGATAGAAACGCGACCCAACCATTTTTGCCTAATAGGTCTTCTGTTGATGATTATTTCTCGTGTGTTATATATGGGTGGGTGTGATCGGCAGCAATCGTCCCATAACCGGCGAGACACCTTGGCAACCTTCTACACACGGATGGGACACTGCCATGCCACATCTGGGACCGTTCCGAAGCAACAGAAGTGCACAAAACATGGAAGGGTATCAGTTTATGTCGATCAACCACGATGATGCACTGAGAGGTCCTCACATCCAGCACTTGGACGTTTTCCGTCTAACCAATGAATGCGATTGGGTGTACGGCGAGAAAACAAAATGTGCATACTGGCTCTTTTCCGGCCCACAGACTACCCGCCTACACTCTAGCGCAGCAGCCTCGCATTCCTCGACGGACGGCATGCTCAGTCTCTCTAACGCGTACATATCGTCACAAGGCAAGTTGTAGTGATATTTAGTCGTCTGTTACACACCCGCCCACCCCAAAAATCATACATAGTAAAGAGTGTGTACTTGTGTAGAAGTGGGCGCTCTTTGAAAATGTCCCATTACGTTCTTTCAAGCGTGCCCGTCACTCAGACACTAATATTTGGAATGGGCTGCAGATATATATATGCGCGAGCACCTTGGCTTCACTCTTGTCCTTCCCACACCGATAGATGTTGCTTCATCAGTCTATGTTTTGAAACACAGGCATTCAGGAGTGAAGCGCAGGCCACATGGCACCAACACCTGTCCAGACGTATTGCCTTATTTTCTCTCAAGACTTCGCCTATTATGACCACCTCTCTAATTTGATGAGATGGTAAGAGGCTTTCCTCCCGACGTTGTTGTTGTTGGGGGAAGTTAGTGCTGTCTTGAGGAGATATTTCGGACCGCTCGGAGAGTCGGTCGTTTTCGCCGAACAGGAAACGCGGAAGAAAATGTCAAGATAAGGCCTGACCCACAAGACTCCACAAGACTCGTGCCTGAGGGCACCGGTTTCCCGGGTTTGCTCGACTTCTGGAAGAGTTGCCAAAACAGGAAATAGATGCGGATTACCAAACGGCGGGGTTACCAGCACGCGGGAGATTTCTAAGTCGGGGGCTGGACCCTGACGAGATTTCAGATCTCCGGGCTGTTGTTGGGATGCCGTAAATAAGCACAGCATGCATTCCGACTCATAGATGTTCAACAGCCTAAACCACTCTCCGCCTCTCCGCAGAGGATTGGCCCAGCAAACCGTGTGCATTGCTAGTGGGCAGAGATAGCTCCGAAACGCGACTTGCACCGCAAGTATCTCCGGACAGCGGCTGGGCTTCACATGGAAGAAGCCACTCCATCCTGCATGTGCAACGAGACTATGAGTGCACGTGGAGGCAAAGTTAGAGGGCTATCTCAACAACCAGCGAATCACACCATTTCACAGGGCGATGCGCGCCAAGCGACAATTGGAGGCACCAAGGGACAGAGCATTTAATGGCCTTTCATAAATTAGTTCGGGGTCAAGGGAGTAATCCCTTCGCGAAGCAAAAGCGATCAACTTGATCGATAGAGGTTTCGAGCCAAGTTTCACACACGATCCGAATTAGCTCTTGCATCCTCTAGCACAAGACACCATGATGGGGTCATCATATATCATAAAGCATTGCGAGGCTCGGTTGTCGTCAAGATGAGATACAGGGAAGCAGGACGGATCCGGAACGGTCTATCAGAATGAAAAGCTTTGACCGGCGGCACGGAAGTAAAAGACCGCCGGGACCAACGGCCCCTTGCGGGATTGCCACGGACGGGAAGGGTCTCCCTTTCTCCCGTGGGCCAAACTGAATAGTTACGCCTCCTTCTAAACTGAACCCCATCTTCTTTTTTTTTTTGCGCGCCAAAGGAAGTGGGTCCACCCTGAGTGGCTCCCGCACAGGCAACTTTTGTCTTCTTGCTCCGACCCTGCCGACAGCTTTGTGCATTTCTAGGAAATGCCATTAAACGCATCGACCACATCAGATAATCGGGGAGGCCTGGATGAAGAGTGACACAGCCAATCGAAATGTTCCCCCAAGAGAGCTGTCTTCTCAGGCGCCGTATTCCGGTCCGCAACCGAGAAAGTCTGAAGGAGTAAGAAACCCAGGGGTGGGGGAGGGAGGTTTCTTAGATAATGAATGCAGCAAGACATCAAATGTCAGTCTTCTTCAAATCGAGAAGGTTGAAAGCAGCAAAAATCGTTTGACGACTTCTCAGATCATGCTGGAAGTAATGCTCTCACGTAAAACGGATGAATCTGCCGGTACGGGTCGGGAAACCAGATAGACTTCTGCTTCCATGTGGGGGGCACAGAGCCGGGGGTGATTGCAGGGAGCGGACACAGAGAAGAAACAACCAACACAATGGTTGAACCGCCCCATGCCATGCCAGTTCTTCCCGGTCCGAGTTATGACGGAAGATTCGGGCTTGGCGGTGTCTTTTCCGCCCGCGGATGTCGTGAGAATTTTGGCTGGAAGGTGTGGTCGCTTGCGGTCACATTCGGAGCGAAGGCACCCGAAGAGAAAGAAACGCAGCGGAGCACGCAAACGGCAAGAGGGCAGTTCGACATCTTCAGCCCACATAGATCTCCTGCGGGGATCGACTGCCGCGGCCGAGGCCAGTTCAGAGTCTTTGCTCTCCAACCATTCAGGTCAGTGACCACGGGAACGCTGCTCTCTTCTGATATCCTGTGCCCCTTTAACGGATGGGTCGCGTAGTTGACACAGAAAAGGAGGGGCGGGAAGGCGGGGCGGAGAGAATCAAACGGACGGAGGGCGCAAGAGAGCTAGCTGCCGAGTACGGCAGCAGTTTGAGGCATCCCGATGCACGCCTGTCACGTTTGGTTGATGCCCCTGGCGGAAGCCGCAGTGCCCGAGGGCCACGAGGGGACCCGGGGCATCCACACTAGCAACCAGGCAGGGCCCTGCCACCACGCCTGCACCAACGAAGCCATCCTTTCAGACAGGACGATTGGGATGTGACGGTACCGTTCTGTCCTCCGGAGACGGGGAAACCAGGGCGCTTCGTCTTGCCTCACTGCCCCGCAATATGCCGAGACGCCGGTGGCATACCCTGCTGCGCAACTTGTTCGTGACTTGAGGTGGTGTTCACAGACAGTCGCGTTCCTCCCCCATCAACTGAAGGTCTAGAGCTTTTCTCCGGGTCTATCCAATCCCTTGCCTGTGCTCACTCTCCGGCCTGTACTCTGTTCCCGCCTCGTCGGCTACGGTCGAAGCCTTTCTTCCTCGTTCCATCGTTGACCACCCGCCCTCTCTCAACCTTGCTCTCACCCACAGCTTTACCCTGTGCATGCCATCATGCATTTCTGATGGCATGCGACGGCCTCGTGCACTTACCTGTTGCTGACCACACTGCTCCCTGGCTCGGGCAGTTGCACCGGAACGCTCCTATATCGGTGAGTGCGTCAACTTGACAACTCATCGTTAGGCACCTCTAACAACACATTCCATTCGATTTCTTCCTAAACCAGTTGCTCAAAGTCCAGTTATTTATCAGATCCTCAGTTGGCATCCGTGTTACAGTGTTCTAAAGCGTTGCTCTCCAGGATCCCCCACAGTTCTACTTGGCTATGCATCCTCGCGTTCCTGGTAGGCGGCAGATCCACTTGCTTCCTAAATCGAACGTTCATTTATCATCCGATTCTCAGGTTACATACCTCCATCCCATGCGGGTGATCCTCGTCCCAGTCTGCAGGTGAACACCAACGCGCTCCATACAGTCTACTCAGCGCCGCCCTACACTGTTGGTCCTGGCCGAATCGGACATACACTTCCCTGCACAAGCACAATTGAAACCAATGCATACAACCCTGGTTCCACTCCCTCCATCTCGCCTACCCCTGCCTCTTCAGTGTCTGTGGCTCACCCTGAGGATCCGTCCCCGAAGCGCAAGCGGTCCCGAGTGACTCCCGAGCAACTCACCCGATTAGAAGAACTTTTTGCTTCTGACCGTAGCCCGACTGTGAGCAGACGCAAGGAGATCAGTGCTGAGTTGGGCATGCGAGAACGTCAGACACAGATATGGTTTCAGAACCGGTGTGTTCATGCCCTAATGGATTAAATCTAACCCCCGGAATTAATGCTGTCGTTTCAGTCGAGCAAAAGCGAAAGTGCAGGAGGGAAGAGGTAAACCCAGAACAAAGAAGTCTTCCGCAGGGAAGAATCGGAGAACGGACGTTGCCTCCCCTGAGAGCATGACTAGCGGGCAGGATTTATCACCAGAGGAAGAAGACAACGAAGACGAACCTCCCTCTGGCCGACCGCCGCCCCCATCCACACATCCACACTATGACCAATATGTCGCCGATCGATTTCGAGAGCCTGGACGTGCGTGCTGCGTCACAACATTCTCGCATTCGAACTGATTTGAATTGCCTGGCCTAGCCATCAGGTTAATTCCGTGTCATCTCCTGAAGATCGGCAGCTGGCCAACATTATCGGATCCCACAAGGGGACGAGAGTTGGTCGCTTTCGTTGCACAGCGTCAAGCTGGAGCTGTGCTTGTTATGCTGTGGTTCTTCTCAAATGGAGGCAGAAGCTACAAGCTGGAATTGCCGATTTCCGCCATTGAAAGCACTCATGTCTCCTTCGAACTTGCGGCAAGTGGAGATCGGTACCCCACTGCAGTTGCTCGCCTCACATTATCCCATGCACCAACATTCTACGTTCTATCCGAATCTCCAGGTGAGGGGGGAGCAACCCCAACGTCGTCTGTGCGTCAGCATCAGTCGGTATGGACTGCTTGTCAAGATTTCACCCAAGGTGGTTCAGGTGCTACCGCCCGAGTCTACGAAATGCAAGGGCCTGCGCAGTCCATGGTACAAGCACTTACCCATTTCCCCAATTACTCTCAAGATGGAGGCCTTTCTCCCACCCTGATCCCCCCCCTTCAGCTATCCAGGCCGCAGCCTGGCATGGTTGTTCCACTGTTGCCCAGTCTACCTCTAGATGGCTCGCCGTCTTATCCTGTCTATTCACAAAGCTTTACGCCCCAACATCCATCGATTGTGCCACCCACAAGCTCCGGAGCTAGCTCTGTGTTGTATCCGAGACCGTACTTGCAACAAAGCCCTGCCTTGCAGCGACAGACCTCGTTTCCACAACCTGCTAATCAACCGACCTTCGCCTACGACATGAATGCCGCCTTACCAAGCCAGGGCTTCACCGCAAACCTCTCGCCTCTTTCAGACCCTGGAACTTCGAACTCTACCGCAGACTACTCTGCTCGAGGTAGCCGACCCTTCACGACGGAGACATTGACGACACCCTTCTTTCCTGATCTGAACTCCCCGACATTTCAGGAGGCCGCCGCGTCTCTGATGAACGATGAGCCCGGAGCGCATCTGTATCCACCGTTTCCACAGCGCCAACAATACTCTCCAGCCGACCCTGCGCCTCACGCCGATACGCAACTACGTTCATCTGAGACGTATCCTGACCGACCCCACTACGTACCCTCTATTGACCCTGGTAGCCAAGGCGGTACGTCTTCCACGCCCACGCGAGAGTACCAGATGCCGTACAGCAGTCACCCTGTGGTCTCACAATTCATGTCGCTACAGCCACCTAGCTTGAGCCAAGGTTACACGACAGCACCGAGTGAAGGGAGCATATAATTTTGGCGGAACGCCAATTTGTAATGAGATGTTCACTGTCCAATTGCCACGCAAGGTGCTCAATAGCCGAGACCGGTTTGCGGCAGTTAGGGTTTCTCACACCGTTTCACTTGCAGGACTTCGTCTTTCTGTGATTAATACATGTGTAAACACTAGTCCAGTCCAAAGGGAGAGTTGGTCGCTGACAACCAAAAACTTTTGATTACGGAACATGTCTTCCAATCGAAAACTAGAATCCATTTGGTATGTATCGATTGACGTTATTACCAAAGGAAACGAAAATATTATTTAAGAGACCTTCAACGCGGACCCGTATAATTTCACTCTGCCCCGAGCTCGATCATGCGTTACAGTATTATAAACAACTACGTTCAACCTGCTTCGCCACGTCTATGTGTCCACTCTGTCGACCCACTCTGTCTACCTTGCTCAGGCGAAGGGGTCCAGTCTGGCCCCCGCTGTAAACGTGCATTCTCGACCCTGTCTTCTGCCTCTAAATGTGCTCTTTGGTTGGATGACAGACTAGCACGCCTGGTTGAAGTGATACTCTGCATCACCTACACGACAGGTCAGTATGGATCACTCAACCCACTGGACCGTTGATAGCCCTACTCGCTGTAACTCATCGATGGGTACCCAGTTCCGCCGCTCTTCCATTGCAGGCCAGTTCAACGTGTAGCCACGACTGACGTCAAGGGCTCCTTCAACAGAGAATGCGAAGATGTAGCTCATTTTCTTTCCCCATCCCCTTTCATACAATGTGGGCTTGTCTCGCGCCGCTTCGCATGAGTCGATGTGAACCCACCGCTGCTCCGTTGGCGAGAAATACTGCGTAGGGACGTCGGGGCGTGTTCGGCTGTGGAAAGAAGTGGCGTACCTCATTCCAGACATGGTCTTCTCGGTTCCATATGTAACGCGCGCGTAAACCTACAGCTCGCAAGAACAGGGTGAATAAATTGGCCCATTCTCCGCACCGCCCTACATAATGACTCCAAAATTGGTCCTTCCTTCCCCAGGAGAAGAGAAGCAATCTCACCTTCCCGAGTCTTCATCAGCATGGCCGGATCGCTGGACCGTTTGATGAGTCACGAATAGAAGCATGGAAGCACCCGCAAGTCATACGACGCACTTATATCTGGGAAAACGATGCAGGCCCCCGCAGTTCGGGGTTTGACACTTGTGGAGTTCAACTCGGTTCGCTCGACCAACACGCTCCTCGGGTGTGGGCGGCGTTGCCCCAATCACGGTCGTCGGGCCCGAGCAGATGGGGCATGGGAACGAGTTTATCCAACGCATGTAGGTATGCTTGAACCACTGGACAAGCGGCTCGGCGAGAGCGTCTTCGAAAGCCAGTGATGAATGATTTTTGTGTGACTGTGCAGAGAGTTGTTCTGCCTTCTCATGTAGCTCCTGAATAGGGATCTCATCCATTGCTTTGTCCTGATGTGACGGTGAGAGACCGACGGCGTAAGGGCAACAGACCGCACTAATAAGTCATGCTTCTCATACACGTCCATATTCCTATTCAATCCCCATACCAGCTCCTCAAACTCTCGAAATGCCGCGGACGGTGCAAGTAGGAGTGGCGGTTCTGGCTGGCTACTTGCATCAGAAGTCGGAGGGCGAAAGACCTGTGTTGCAATCTCTTGTATACATAGGACCTCCTCTTGTGTAGGAACATGTGTTTGGTGGCTCCTCCTCTCGTAGTGCAAAATAGCAATGGCTGAGAGACGTTCGACGATTTCATCCATCGTATAGATCTCCGCTGCGAAACGTTGTCTCTCCAATGGCAAGGCTAGGGACAATCGAGAGGGAAGATGCAAGACCAGCAAAGGGGCGCTTTGCCGCGCGCAATGAATGTTTTGTGGAATGGGCGAAATGCTTTGCCAGAGTACTATACCGCGGTTGTTGTTGACCGTCGGGAATTGTACAGACACTTAAGTCCGATGGACTGGCGCTTTCTGTTGCAACGGGTCCCTGACAAATCTCCTCCCCAACATAACATCATCACCAGTTCTTTCTTTTATTGCGCAGTGGTTTGCTGTCCAAAACTAGGGCACATGACAACACAGCTGCATCCCGTTGGGTCATAATGGCGACTTCACTACAAGACAAGATAAATAAGCCAAACACCGCGACTGTCTGCCTCTGTTGTTGATAATACTTTCTCGTTGTTCATCCATCCCGTCATGCCTGTACTCTCACCTGATCAGCCATCTACAATTCTTATCACCAGGGGTACGGGTTACATCGCCTCCCACACTGTTCTGGCTGCTCTCCAGTTGTACTCAAACTTTAAGGTCCGCGCTATCGTACGAACGGAAGACAAAGCCAGAGGGCTCCGTGATGCACTCGACAGACAAGGCGCGGACACGAGCGATTCAAGGCTCGAATTCGCCTATGTCGATGATCTCCTCTCCCAGGATCAGATTGGTCGTGCCATGGATGGCGTGCAAGGTGTTGTTCATATCGCTCTACCCCGGCCTAGCGAGAACTTGGTCGAGGAGGCCACTGGTTCCATCTTGACGGTTCTGACGTCCGCACAGCGAGCAGGAACTGTGACCCGGGTCGTCATGACCTCTTCGTCCTGTGCATCCATCTCGATGCCCTGGTCGCCCGCCAATCGTCTCGTTGACAGCAACACTTGGAACAATGCTGCAATTGATCGCTGGAGAGCATACACAATGTTGAACAACGAGGCAAAACGTGCAATCCAGCATGGTGTCGATGGATCATGGTTCTGGACCCTGTACGAAGCTTGCAAGACCGTCTCGGAACAGGAGGCATGGAAATGGATGAAGGAAAACAAGGTCAGAGAATATATATATATATATATATACATATGAGAGAGAAGAACATGTGGCTGATCTTTCACCGCTATAGCCGGCATTCGATCTCGTAACCATTCTACCCAACACCAACTTTGGTCCCGTCATTTACGGTGAACCGAGCTCAACGGCAGAGTGGATCACAATGCTCCTTCAAAACAACGAGAACTCCCCAGCAGCAATGAAATCTATTCCCAGTCGTATGTCCTTCAATTTTCACGCCTACCACTCTCTGAGAATGGCTCAACAGAGTGGCGTGTAGACGTCCGTGACGATGCTAAGGTCCATCTGTCATCGCTTATCGACGCAAATGTAGCCAACAAGCGGCTGTGGACAGTTTCCGAGCCTTGGGGCTGGAATATTCTTCTCGCCATCTTGCGCAAGCACTTTCCTAACAAACCGGTTCCTCTTGACATTGAGGACTCAGCCTATGGCCCGACCTGCCAAATGCGTGTCGAGCATGAGCTGGCTACCCAGCTGATAGGTAATTGGATTGGTTTGGAACAGAGTGTGGTAGACACGGCAAAGAGCATAGGCCACTAGCATTCGCGCTTTACGCATCCTTGGTCTGTGTACTGTAACCTGGTGAATAAGCAAGACAAGCAAGTCTCATCCGTTTTCCGATCTATCACGTGATCCTCCACCCAGCAGTCCGGACGTCCCCCAAAATGCTGAGTCCGAGCACGAGTAAACGTGGTAGTAAAGGGGTCATGTTGGCTTTTTCCTATCTTTCCAACGGACAATCGAGTCCAACTGGCTTCGAGTCCAATCCGTGCCGCGGTTCTTGGTGTTGGGTTCTCAGCTACCGTGTTCCAGATACCCTTCATCGTGAGAATAGCAAGGACATTCAGGAGGATGGTCGCTAAAAAGTTTAGTAGTTGGGACTACCAGAACAGTTCAGCTTGCACACCATTCTCGAACGCAAAGCTACCGCCGAATATAGTAAGACCAAGGACTTGTATGGTAACACAGGCGTAAAGGTCGTCACGACGTATGCAGAAGTGCTGGAGGATCATGATATTGATTTGGTACGAAAGGCATCGGGCAAGGCAATTTCCGTCCTCATCACCCGGTCTAGGTTGTCATCTCAATCAGATCACCAGACCACTACACTTACTCAAAGGTAAGACACATGATCAAGGGTCTGGCGTCCAGGCTGACCCGAACAGTCCGCCCTAGAAGCCGGAAAGCATGGTGTGTGATGCACCCCGAATCCTTTGCATGCCTGACCTGCAGTGACCAAGTCATTCTGGAGAAGCCCGTGACTGCAACGAGCGCTTAGATGCGCGAGCTTATAGCGATCGAAAGTCTAAGCATCTTGTCCTAGCCCCTTATCACAATCGGAGGTTCGACGGAGATTTCAGAACAATGCGTGCATTGATCAAGGAGGGCAAGGTATGAAATAGATCTTCCCTTGGTAGTAGCTCATGATCCTCAGTTGCCAGATTTGATTGATTTTGAATCCCGGTAGGAAGTTTCTCCAAGGAAAGTGCACGCAAGCATTAATCAAACTCGCCAGGTTTGATGTTCTTGCGAACTGGCCCATGGGGCCACCGGGCACTGGCTCCGGCATTAGCTATGGGCTGTAAGCAGGCCCGCCCTCCGTCTAGAACCTTCAGTTGATAGTATCAGTGGAACTCATCTTTTGGATCAGGCTATAGCACTGTTCGGCAAGCCGAAGGCGGTAACGGCGATGCTAATCAACGCCCGTGGCATCGGCCATCCCGAAGTCGAAGATTCTGTGGGTCCCACCGAAGCTGACAGTCCACGGCGTGCTTATCTGAATTATTTCAGTTCATCATGCACCTTCGTTACAGAGATTCCCCTGTTATTGTTACGTTGAGATCGGTGACGCATTCGGTCCTGTCCAAACAAGTCAGGTTCATCGCAAGAAGCCTGAACTCAAGTTACGTGAAGTACGGTTTGGATGTTCAGTGTAAGCCTGATCAGCATGTCCCGTGGTCGAGATCTCATAAGTCGGAAAGCGGATCAACTGATGAAACAGGGCATGAAGGCCACAGACATTGGGTTCGGAGAGGAACCTCAAGAGGGATGGGGTGAATATGGGTACATCGTCGATGGCAAGCCGGTGTTCGAGAAGTGAGTGTTGTTCGAGCATCGGGGCCGAACAGTTTCACAAATTCAAACAGAATCCGTACTCATACGGGATCATATCTCGACTACTATCGAAATGTAGGGGATGCTATCCACGGCAGAGCCCAACTTGAAGTTACGCCCGAAGACGCAGAGCTTGGGATCCGCATCATTGAAGTCGCCAGGCAAAGCTCGCAGGAGGGGAGAACCATCGAGGTGGAATTTTAAGTGAACAGTGAGAGAAACAGGATGTAATCGGCCATAACTGTCATCTGTCGAGGTTCAGTAGTGTTTTGGAGGTTAACTCGTATGCATACAGTTGTAATGCAGTGAGTGTCACAGATTCGGAATTTTTGTCGCATGCCGGAAGCAAACACGAGGAGAGCATCTTGATTAATTGCAACCATCATTGTGAACCGAAATAAGTCGATGGGTAAACGCAAGCGTTCAGAGGCATCAACAGCTGGTCAAGATGTAGGATCGTCTTCACTGCTTCCCAAGGTACACGTCTTGCGTCCGTCCATCTATATGCAGTTCTCACCAAATGGTATATCACAGAAACGAAATTACAGGCAGAGAGCACATGCCAACCCATTTTCGGACCATTCTCTTCAATAGTATGCTTCTCAACCCCGTGTCAATGAAGTAGAGTCCTGAAATTATCTCACGAGTCCAAGTTCTCCTTTGGCTATGGATTGGTCACCTCACTACCCTGCATACTTTCCAAGCCTTGCGGAACCCAGCCGGGCGAAAGCAGTTGAGGATCACTCGCCCAACCGTACAGTCGAGTTCGCCGATATAGGTTGCGGCTTTGGGGGCCTTCTCATTGCATTAGCACCACTATTTCCCGATACCTTGATGCTGGGTATGCCACATGATGGAAGAAGTACTCTAGTTCGCTAACTGGGTGGAAAGGGATGGAAATTCGCGTCCAGGTCACCCAATATGTCGCAGACAGGATCAAGGCGCTGCGCGTTCAAAAGAATGACGCACCGGGTGGATACCAGAACGTATCCGTCATTCGAGCTAACGCGATGAAATTCCTTCCAAACTTTTTTCAGCAAGCTCAGGTCAGCTTCAGCGCGGCCGGATGTCAATGACACTAAGTTTCTGTGGTAGATGTCCAAATTGTTCTTTCTGTTCCCGGACCCTCATTTCAAAGCTCGCAAACACAAGGCCCGAATTATATCGTACGTCTTGAAATAAAAATTTGCAAGGGATGTACTGATCAGGACGTTGGCTATCAGGCCCACTTTATTAGCCGAATACGCGTATGTGCTGAAGCCTGGAGGACTGCTTTATACCATCACAGACGTCAAGGACCTCCATGTCTGGATGGTTCAACATCTGAATGCTTTTCCACTGTTCGAGAGAGTATCTGATGAAAGTCTCAAGGGGGATCCAGTTTTCGAAGCGATAACCACGAGCACAGAAGAGGGGAAAAAGGTTGAGAGAAATCAGGGTAGCAAATGGCCAGCGGTCTTCCGACGCATTGACGATCCATCACCTGATTGAGGGAGCAAGGAAAAAATAGCATTCCGATCGATGCCCATGCGCGGACAGCATTTTACGATGATATACGATATTCAACCATAATAGAAGAAGCCTTTCTGTCCCACCCCTACTTGCCAACGAACATCTTCTTGATGGCCTCGCTGGAATAACTCTTGGGACGCTCGAGAGGAGCACCGAGGGCACGGTCCCAGATGAGTTGTGCAGCAACACCGAACGCACGGGAGACACCGAAGAGAACAGTGTAGAACTGCATCTGGTCAAGGCTAACATACGGTCAGGGCTTGACATGTTGATGTATCCGCAAACATACCCATAGTAGGTAAGAAGAATACCTGAATGGGCATCAACATTGGGCCAAGGATTCTTCGCCTTCCCAGCCTCAAGCAGGATACCAGGGGCGATGTTGTAGATCTGGCCAACAAGTTTGAAGAGAGGGTCCTCGGGAAGGTGCTTCAGGGCGAACGCGCGTTGGGCCATATAACGAGGGTCCTGAAACACACGTTAGAAGAGCGAAGTCATTATGGTGTAAACACCACGCACAGTCTTGCGAAGCACAGCGTGCCCATAGCCAGGAACGACTTGGCCACTCTTGAGAGTGGACCAAATGTAGTCCTTGATGTCCTGATCACTCGGGTTCTCGCCGACCTTGCTGCGCATCTTCATCACCCAAAGGAGCACCTCTTGGTTGGCAAGACCGTGGAGAGGACCAGCCAGGCCGTCCAGAGCAGCAGCATAAGAAAGGAAGGGGTCCGAAAGGGCGGAGCCGACAAGCTTGCCAGTATGAGCGGACACGTTACCACCCTCGTGGTCACTGGAAAGTTGTGAGAAATGCCTTAAGAAAGACGAGGTTTGGTGTGCTCACCTATGAATGACGATGTACAGCCTCATGAGCTCGACAAACGCCTCCTTGTCACTAAAGCCAAGGAGATGGGACAAGTTCCACGCATAGTCCTTCGTCGCGTCAATAGCCGGGAGCTTGCCATCTCCATACACGTTGCGGTAGATGCGACCAGCAATCGCCGGAAGCTTGGCGATGAGGTCCATACAATCCTCATAAATCGGTCCCCAGTACTCTGCCTTGGGGATACCGTTCTGGTAAGCTTTGGCGAAGGCAGAGTCGTGGTTCAGCTATCAAAAAATCAGGAAAGCGTTCGAGTCACGGCTGGAAGAACGCACTGCAGTGACAGCCACGCTGAACTGACTCATAGGGTGCAGGGTGGGAGGGCAACGATCAATGAGCTCTTCAACGAACTTGGGGAGCTCGGCCCTGGCGGCCCACTCGGCAGAGATAGCCTTGGTCTGTTCAGCGGTGGGCACCTCGCCCGTAACCAATAGCCAGAAAAGCGCCTCGGGCAAGGGTTCAGCCCCGCCATCAGCCTTCGGGAGCAGGTCCTGGCACTCCGGAATAGTCTTGCCGCGGAAACGAATCCCCTCGTCTGGTGCATGTTAGCTGTCATGGGCGTGGGTGGTTGACGACTAACTCACTGGCGTCGAGCACGGAACCTGGGAAAACCCGATTAAGCACAGCTTATAAACAGCAACGCTAGAACTTACCGTCCCAGATCAGGGCAGGCAGGCCACGCATACCGCTACATGTCGAATATAAGTGAATGATAAGAGCGAATATCAAGACCGTGGGGCAGTAGGACGCACCCATACAGCTGATCAACTGTTACCTGGCCAAGTGCCTTGGCGCCGTATTCGGTACGAATAGCCTTCACCTGGTGCGGAAAATGCATGAGATGCACTTTCAACAGAATAGAAAGGTACCAACATTCTCCTTCTCCTTGGGGATCAACTCGGCAAGGCGCTCCTTCAGAGACTGGGGCTTAGTGGAATAGAAGCGAGACGAGCGTGAGGCCAAGCGGAAAGCATTGGCACGAGTCTATATCAAGTAGAAAAAAGACAGGTGTCAAGCCGGGGGATGAACAGATCAATGCAGGTATACCTGAAGCCTAGCTGCGGCAACGAGGGGAGACACCATTTTTTTTCGCGGGAGTGAAGGAGGAGAATAGATCACGGGCCCGACGGGGGGTAGGTATGAGGAAGGAGGAGAGAGAGAGAGAGAAG